TCTTACTTTAATTTTTATTAATTTTTTTCTCAATCGGGTCCCAATACCCATTCGGAACCCAATTCCCAACGTCGCAAGTAAGAGTCTTGACTATTTGCATAGGCATAAATATTTTTGTTAGAAGAAGAAGAAGAATATTATTGTAAAGAAGCGAGCAAAAATGGGAGTTTTATTAATAATTACACAAATTAATTAAATAATCTTAAGATCCTATTATCAAGATATTTTTTCAAATTCTGATATTTAAATATTTCCCTGTTCCAGAACACGGTAAAACCTTCTGGTGCCTGCCCACAAGCTGTGAAAATGTTGGGAAAAATACATCCCATATAAGGCGAAGGGAGAATCTCATCATATTTTTATATCCTCTGCCATATGGCTAGAGATCATATACAGGGTTGCCCATATTCGACGGATTCATCTGGCAACGCCATAAATTTTGACAGAGATGTCACATCGCTTAATGACATACCGCGTTTGAAGCGTCAGTCCAAGCAGATTTTTACCATGAACCAATACCAATGCCACGCGATCGCTCTGAAATAGTTGAAATTTACATTCAACAGAAGAAGTCAATTGTGAAAAAAAATGTGAGATGTGCGCCTTCTAAGAACACCATTAAGCGTTTATACGAAAAATGTTCGACTGGTAAGGCTCTTTCTGATCCGAAGAGGCCATATAAAAGTCGACCAAGGCGATCGGCCGAGAATATCGCTGCCTTACGAGCCAGTGTTGAGAGGTCCCCAAGAACATCCCAAAAACGCCGTTCTCAGCAGTTGGGCATGGCTCGATCCACTTTACAACGGATTATTCGGATTGATTTGCATTTGTTCCCGTACAAAATACAAAATTCAATTGACGCAAAGAATGTTGCCTGCGGACGAGCCTCGTCGATTGGAATGGGCCCAAAGGTCCGTCGAATATGGGCAACCCTGTATATAATTTGATACGGCCAAAACGTGCCTCATAGGGGTCCGTCCCTGGCTAACTGGCTGGTGTGCACGATAACTCTCGAAGGGAGTATCCGATTTGGTTCAAACTTGGTACATCATGATATTATTATCAAACTTAGATGGAGTTCGTAGAGGGGCAATGGCCCACTCCTACTGGTACCTCCCCCACGAAAAGTCAAAATTTAAAAAAAAAAAAAAAACAAGTAAAAAACAGTAAGTTCGGCCGGGCCGAACTTTGAATACCCTCCACCATTTGGAACGAATTAGAAAATTTTCAAAAAAAATTAAATCCAATAAAAATTCTTTTAAAATCTTTAAAATATCTAATATAGGAAGGTACCGATATATGGGGGGATATACGATATTGTGGACCTATAAAGACAAATCTATGTCTGCGTGTAAAGTACTCACAAGGAACTCCTTGTATGGATTTTCAGATAATTCCATTGGAAAAAGTGGCTAAAATCGTCAAAATACCGAATATAGGGGAGTACCGTTATATGGGGGCTATACGATATTGTGGACCTATATAGATGATTCTCTGCCGAGGTATAAAGTACCCACAAGGAACTCCTTTTGTGGATTTTCAGACAATTCCGTTGAAAAATGTGGGTAAAATCATCAAAATACCGAATATCGGGGGGTACCGTTATATGGGGGCTATACGATATTGTGGACCTATATAGATAATTCTCTGCCGAGGTATAAAGTACCCACAAGGTACTCCTTGTGTGGATTTTCAGACAATTCCGTTGAAAAATGTGGGTAAAATCATCAAAATACCGAATATCGGGGGGTACCGTTATATGGGGGATATACGATATCGTAGACCTATATAGACAATTCTTTTTGAGCAGGTAAAATGCCCACAAGGGACTCTTTTTGTGGAATTTCAGACAATTCCATTGAAAAATGTGGCAAAAATCATCAAAATACCGAATACCGTGGGGGTACCGTTACATGGGGGCTATACGATATTGTGGACCTATATAGATAATTCTCTGCCTAGGTATAAAGTACCCACAAGGAACTCCTTGTGGGGATTTTCGGACAAATCCGTTGAAAAATGTGGGTAAAAACATCAAAATACCGAATATCGGGGGGTACCGTTATATGGGGGATGAACGATATCGTGGACCTGTATAGAAAATTCTCTCTCAGGGGGTAAATTACTCGCAAGGAACTACTTGTGTGGATTTTAAGACAATTCCATTGAAAAATATGGCTACAATCATCAAAATGCCGAATACCGGGGGGTACCGTTATATGGGAGCAATACGATATCGTGGACCGATATAGCCCATCTTCGAACTTGACCTGCCTGCAAACAAAAGATAGATCTGTGCAAAGTTTTAGCTTCTTATCTTAATTCGTTTATACTGTAGCGTGATTACAACGGACGGACAGACGGACGGACAGGGCTAAATCGTCTTAGAATTTTACGCTGATCAAGAATATATATAAATTGTTGGGTCTGACATGAGTATTTCGATGAGTTACAAACGGAATGACGAACTTAATGTACCCTCCATACCTTTTTTTGGTGGAGGGTATAAAAATGTTTTGCTGCACACAAAGGAAAGGTTTATTCGATTTTGCACCAACTTTACAAATCCTAATATTTGCATCAGTGCTAGGTCAGGTGCGAAACTGAACAATATCGGTCCACTTCATCAAATATCTCCCCACACAAAGTGTCAAAATTTTGAATAAATATAACTCTTATAAAATGTGATGTAATAGTCCGATTGTCTCCTAATTACACAGATCACAATGTTTTTACTAAACCAAGGTCTGATGTGAACACGGAATACATCGGTCCACTCCTTCTGTTGTGAAGATTATATCATCTTCATCTACAAACCCCTTCTAATACCTCAGCCACAAAGGGTCACAATTTTGGTCTTCGGTCGACTATATCTGAAACCTTAAGCACATTTTAAGGAAGGAATAAGAAGGAAGTAGTCGATATAGTCCAAAACGTGCACGTCGCAATATTTATATGATATTTATTTAGGTCCGATACGAAATGGACAATATTGGCCCATTTGTATGGAACCTATTACATAAGAGAAGTCAAAATATATTAAATATATTTCAAATTAACGAACATTGGCTGAGGGTATACATCTGTCGGCAATACCGACTGATATTTTGAACTGGTTTTTCATTAAAATTCGTAAAAAATTCCTGACCCAGAATTGTATATTTTTGAAAATATGTTATGGAATCTTCCTGATTCAGAGTTAATAATATTTGGCAGAAGTATTTCAAGGACATTCTGAACCAAAATTATTCTGAACATAAATTATTAAATTATTACTTTTTTTCTTTGGAAAATAGTCTTCCTGGACTTCCAGACCAAAGACTTCTGCAAAAGAATTGGGGATTGTAACAAAAAAAAAACCAGTGAAGAAAGTCTTAAAGTCGGGCGGGGCCGACTTTATGATACCCTACACTACTTTGCTAATTTAGTAGAGTTCCGCATAACAATTAAAAGTTTTTATGGGAGAACCCAATCATACACGCTATGATTATAATTATAATTTAAAGTTCAAAGGACTAAATATGCCGGAGCATTTGTATCTTTTAAATTCGGACTTGTATAGCCCATTTGGTGCACAATTAATTTGAAATCGGATGAAAACATATATGGGAGGTATATAAAAATCGGAACCGATCTCGATAAAATTTGGCAAAGATATTTCTGAGCTGTATTTGATATATTTCCCTGAATATCGTTGTTACGGAGTGCATATTACGGCTGTGGATAACAAATACAACAAATCGGACGAACAATATATATGGGAGCTATAGCTATATCTGAACCGATCTTCAACAAATTTGGCATACTAGCTTCTAGACTCAATTAGGTCGCATGTGCCAAATTCCATTCTATTTGGGCAAATATTAGACTTTTGGTGCACAATAAAAAAAAACCGGACGAAGTTATATATGCGAGCTATATCCAAATCTGAACCGATCTCGATAAAATCTAGCAATGGTATTTCTGAGCTGTATTTGCTATATTTCCCCAAATATTTTTGTTACAGAGTGCATATTACGGCTGCGGAGGACAAAAATAATAAATCGGATGAACAATATATAGGAGAGCTATAACTACATCAGAACCGATTTCGATCAAATTTGGCACACATATTTTCAGGCCTAATTTGGTTGTATGTACAAAATTCCATCCTATTCGGGATGATATTACACGTTTGGTGCACAATAAAAGGCAAATCGGACGAAAATATATATGTGGGAGCTATATCTACATTTTTACCGATTATCTCCAATTTCAATAGGGTTCGTCCTTGGGCCAAACAAATGATTTGTGCAAAATTTCATCTCAATCGGATAATAAATGCGACCTGTATTTTGTTCACAAGAATACATGGACAGACGGACGGACGGACTGACATGCATAAATCAGAAAGTCATTCTATGGAGATCCTCAAAAGTAACTATGGGTCTATCTCGCTTCCTTCTCCATGTTACAAACAAATGCACAAAGACATAATACCCTTACCACTATGTGGTGTAGGGTATAAAAAAAACATTTGGGCATAAATAGTGGATTGTTAAAAAATATCCAAGGAAATTTTCCCCAAAATTTTTGACTTTTTAAATTAAAAATTATGATTTTTTCATTAAACTACTGAATAAGAGTTCCTTGACAAAAATTGAATTTTGGTCATAAAAGGTTTTCAAGGAACTCTGACCATACTGGAGAGAACTGGCAGTGACTGAAAATGTTCAGTTAAAAAATAAAATATATTTAATTCTAATTAATTTTAAATTTACACTGGTCTCTTTCAAGTAAAAATAATTTATAGACTTAGCCTCTTACGAACTAAACTTATTTTTGAACATATTTGCTTTCTCGAGATAATTTTTTTCTGTGAATGTTTCTTTAATATTTATTTTCATATTTTATTCTTAAAAACCAATTTTAAGTTAAATTGTTTATCATTTATGGAAACTGGATTTGTGCCCATAACTTTAATATATAGCACTCACTTGAATCCTATGTTTTTGACTTACCTATCATTGTTTTGAATTTCAACTTTTCCTCGCCGCCATGAAACCATAAAGCAAAATCTTCCGAATTAAAGGATGCCGCATTTCGTTCTTTTTGTAAATCGGGATTAATTGTTTTTGGAATCATGTTTATGTTATAGAATTCTACTATTGTTTTATTCTATTAAAAATATTAAGATTATAAAATAACGTTCCACTGTTTACCGCCGCCTTTCGAACACAAACTAAAGTACCAACATGTTGATGAGAGTATTTCGATGAACGCCCAACCGTGGTAAATTGTGCTCTTTGCTCTTTAGGAAGCTTTCATTCTATATAAAACAAGTACTCATGATTTCTCTGTTGCAAAAAGAAAAATGCCAATAACAACAAAAGACAATCTTTTAAAATTGTATTATTCTTATCACAGTTTCTATGTACATATATATATATATATATATATATATATATATATATATATATATATATATATATATATATATATATATATATAGAAGTCACAATTAAGTGGCTTATCGTCAACAGCTGATCTGATTTTCTCGAACATATGCTTTTTCAATTTTTAACAAGAGTAAGAGAAATCTCGTTTTATTAATACACAATAATCACAGCTGTTTATTTCATATGCAACAAATGCAAGGTCATCTTCAGAAAAGTTTTATAAATCGTCTTTTAAATTAAAAAAATTGCCTTAATTTTAGAAAACTGTCATACAATAACAATAATCTCTTATACAGGGTAAAATGGCCAAATTGCATTTCAAAACTTATTTTGGTGTTCTTTGATGAGTAAAGTTTCGAAAATGATAACTTTTTTTTAAAGTATTATACTTGAAAAGAAAAGTGTTATACAATGGTAAAATGTCTTTTTTTATACCCTACACCACATAGTGGTAAGGGTATTATGTCTTTGTGCATTTGTTTGTAACATGGAGAAGGAAGCGAGATAGACCCATAGTTACTTTTGAGGATCTCCATAGAATCACTTTCTGAGTTGATTTATGCATGTCACACCGTCTGTCCGTCCGTCCGTCTGTCCATGTATTCTTGTGAACAAAATGCAGGTCGCATTTATTATCCGATTGAGATGAAATTTTGCACAAATCATTTTTTTGGCCCAAGGACGAACCCTATTGAAATTGGAGATAATCGGTTAAAATGTAGATATAGCTCCCATATATATCTTCGTCCGATTTGCCTTTTATTGTGCACCAAACGTGTAATATCATCCCGAATAGGATGGAATTTTGTACATACAACCAAATTAGGCCTGAAAATAAGTGTGCCAAATTTGATCGAAATCGGTTCTGATATAGTTATAGCTCTCCTATATATTGTTCATCCGATTTATTATTTTTGTCCTCCGCAGCCGTAATATGCACTCTGTAACAACAATATTTGGGGAAATATATCAAATGCAGCTCAGAAATACCATTGCTAAATTTTAACAAGATCGGTTCAGATTTGGATATAGCTCGCATATATAACTTCGTCCGATTTTTTTTTTATTGTGCACCAAAAGTCTAATATTTGCCCAAATAGAATGGAATTTGGCACATGCGACCTAATTGAGTCTAGTATGCCAAATTTGTTGAAGATCGGTTCAGATATAGCTATAGCTCCCATATAAATTGTTCATCCCATTTGTTGTATTTGTTATCCACAACCGTAATATGCACTCCGTAACAACGATATTCAGGAAAATATATCAAATACAGCTCAGAAATACCATTGCTAAATTTTATCGAGATCGGTTCCGATTTGGTTATAGCTCCCATATATGTTTTTATCCGATTTTAAATTATTTGTGCACCAAATGGGCAACACAAGTCCGAATTTAAAAGATACAAATGCTTCGGCATATTTAGTCCTTTGAACTTTAAATTATAATTATAATCATAGCGTGTATGATTGAGTTCTCCCATAAAAACTTTTAATTGTTATGCCGAGCTCTACTAAATTAGCAAAGTAGTGTAGGGTATCATAAAGTCGGCCCCGCCCGACTTTAAGACTTTCTTTACTGGTTTTTATTTGTAAAATTGCAAATATATTTTGTAATTTTTTTTTAAACACAGTCAATACAAATTTGCCAAGTCATTGTAATGTTTACTAAACCGTTCATAGTCCAACATCGACTATGGACAGAGAAGAGAAATTATTTCTCTTATCCAATTTTCTCAATTTAATTTTGAGCATTTTTTTTGAAAGTTTCTTCTCCCCACCATGGATCCCCAGTCGACCCCACATGCAATGCAACAAATAAATGTTTACAACTGAGAGTTGGGGAGTGCGGTCGGTTATCTCTTCTTACAAATCTCAAGAGAGACTGAGAGAAAGTTAGACCGTCACGTATACCGTTGATCACTTACGTAGCGAAAGCTTTTCCTTGTCTTATCAATGAGCGTCAAGATAATGCCAAATCTTAGCGTTTACTTGGTGTCGTTCAAAGAGCAAACTCCGTTGCCGGACGCACACCGAAGAAGGCCCCCAACACTAGTTTTTTGCTTTAGTTTGCCTGCTGAAGTTCAAAAAGTTAGACGTCGTGTGTCCCAGTCGGAAGAAATGAGTATCATACCGAAAACTGTAAATCCGGATTTACAAAAAGAGCGCGCGAAGGCCTCTTTCAATGTGGAAGATTTTGCTCTGTGGTATCATGGTGGCGAAGAGAAATTGAAATTCAAGAGATTTTTTGGTGAGTAAATAAGTGATTGTTTTGAAATTGATATCGAGAAGTTGGATTACTCTGTTATGGCAGCGATCAGTCAGTGGTTCAGGCAGTGTGCAGTGAATATGTCTTCGCGGTGTTATTCAAATAACAAATATTATATTTGTTAACACATTTTAGTTGTGTTATCTTTACGATACCAAATAGCAAGTCAAGTGGTACTGCTTGAAAAAATTGATTGGAGCCGTGTGGGTTTATCTTGAAATCAGCAAGAATGTTAATAACTATGTATCCGTGATGGAGATTTTTTTCAGGGGATATCCCCTATCTCCAACAATAATTGATACGTGCCAAATACCATTTTGACGTCAACAATGGAGGACTTTGATCAAGAAAATATTTGGATGATGTAGTGAATGTCTCCTGTACAGGGTGAGATAAAAAAACTGCAAGAAAGTCAAACGCAATAATTTTTACATTTTTTTGAATTTTCTTGAATAAAAGCAAGAACTGTCGGAAATAGCTTCAAATTTTAGAATAAGTTTAGATTTGTTCGAATTGGTCACCTTTGGCACGAATTATGGCCTTCAAACGGCCAGTGAAACCGTCACACGCTTCCCGCATGTTGTTCTGCGGTATTTTGGCTCATTCCCGGCGAAGCGCTTGCTTGAGATGATTGACATTTTGGTATTTTTTAATGCCAACCTTGCTTTCCAAAATGTCAGTCGGTTTTGCCGACAGATGTATACCCTCAGCCAATGTTCGAATTTTTAACTATATTTTTATACCCTCCACCTTGGAAAGGAGGGTATATTAACTTTGTCATTCCGTTTGTAATATCCTTAAATATTCGTCTTAGACCCCAAAGTATATAAAGTATATATATTCATAATCAGCATAAAATTCTAAGTCAATCTGTCAATCCGTCTGTCTGTCTGTCCGTTGAAATCGCGATACAGCCCACATTATTTGACGTAGAGCGCCAAAATTTAGCAGAGCAATTTGTATTGTGTTTAGAATGGTTGGTATTGAAAATGAGATATATCGATCCACGTTTTGGTATAGTCCCCATATAACGGTACCTCCCGATATTCGGTATTTTGATGATTTATGCCACAATTTTTCACGGATTTGTCTGAAAATTGGTATTTGTAGGTCATAACGGGTCCTAGTTCGTGTGGCAAGACATTACATGTATAGGTCCACGCTTTGGTATAGCCCCCATATAAAGGTACCTCCCGATATTCGGTATTTTAATGGTTTTTGCCACATTTCTTCGCGGATTTGTCTAAAAATTGGTATTTGTTGGACTTAATGGGTTCTAGCTCTTTTGGCGAAACACTGTATGTATAGGTCCACATTTTTGTTTAGCCCCATATAGCCAAATTTCCCGATATTCGGTATTTTGATGACTTTTGGCACATTTTCCCATGAATATGTCTAAAAATTGGTATATAGGCTCTAATGTTTCCTTTACCCTAAGGTGGCCCGGCCGAACTTAATGTTTTTTTACTTGTTACTTTTGTTATGATTATTCAAATTGTTGATCCTCTATGGAATAGGTTCCGAAGGAATGGGCCAATATTGTCCTTTTCGTATGGGACCCAAATAAATATGATATAAATATTGCGACATACCAGGTTTCGACTATATTGGTTACTTCCATCACTTTATATGAAATACATGATCATTTTGAAAAAATGTGCGTGAGGTACCAGATATAGTTTACCGAAGTATTCCATTTTCTTGCTTCATCTAATACCGATAAAAATATTAATATGGCCAAAATTGCTAGAAAATCGAACATTTAATCCAATTTAATGCGAAATCATAAATTCCAGCAAATCTTGTGTAGGTAGAAATAAAGGGATGTGTGGAATATGAAGATAACCGGATGCGTATTTCGGATTTTAGATGTACCAAGTCTGAATGGAATCGGATGTTCATTTCGCGTTTTATGAGCTACGTGGGTATTCAAAATTTTGACCCTTTGTGGGGCAGGTACCATAAGGAGTGAACCGATATTTCCCAGCTTCACAGCAGATCTTGTGTAAGTAGAAATAAAGGTATGTGTGGAATATAAAGAGAACCGAATACTTATTTCAGATTTTATAATCGTTTTGGTGATTCAAAATTTTCACCCTTTATGTGGGAGGTACCAAAAGGAATGGTCCGATCTCTACCATCTCTATAAAAGATCTTCAGTTGACAGGAATATTGAGATATACCAAGTCTAAATGGAATCGGATGTTCATTTCGCGTTTTATGGGCTTCATGGGTATTCAAAATGTTGATCCTTTGTGGGGAAGGTACCATAAGGAGTGGACCGATATTTCCCAGCTTCACAGCGGATCTTGTGAAAGTAGAAATAATGGGATGTGTGAAATATGAAGAGAAACGGATACTGATTTCGGATTTTATAATCGTTTTTGTTTTTCAAAACTTTGACCCTTTGTGGGGGAGGTACCACAAGGAATGGTCCGATCTCTACCATTATTATAACAGATCTTGAGTTGACAGGAATATTGAGATATACCAAGTGTGAATGGAATCGGATGTTCATTTCACGTTTTATGAGCTTCAGGAATACCCAGCTTCACAGCAGATCTTGTGTAGGTAGAAATAAAGGGATGTGTGGAATATGAAGTGAACCGGATGCGTATTTCGGATTTTATAATCTTTTTGGTGATTCAAAACTTTCACCCTTTGTGTGGGAGGTACCAAAAGGAATGGTCCGATCTCTACCATCTCTATAACAGATCTTGAGTTGACAGGAATATTGAGATGTACCAAGTCTGAATGGAATCGGATGTTAATTTCGTTTTTTATGAGCTTCAGGAATATTCAAAATTCGACCTTTTGTGGGGTAGGTAGACCCTTTGTAGGGGAGTAGACCGATATTTCTCATATTCATAACAGATCTTGTGTTAATAAAAATATTGTTATATTCGTAATTTGAAGTAAATCGGAATCTAACATTACATTTTATAAGAGTTTTAATTATTCAAAATTGTAACCCTCTGTGTAGGGGTACCGATATTGTCTATTTTCGCACCTGACCTAGTACTGATGCAAAAATAAGAATTTGCAAAGTTGAAGTAAAATCGGATCATCTCTTTTCTTTTTGAGCAGTAAAATATTTTCTTGAAAATTTCGACATTTTGTGGGAGAGGTACCAGAAGGAATTCACAGATATTGCCCATCTCCGAACTCGATCTAAGTTTGATAACAATATTACGATGTACAAAATTTGGACCAAATATAAAAAATACTCCCACACAGAGAGGCAGACAGACGGACGGACATCGCTAGATTGACTCCAAATATCGTGAAATGGATTTGGTTCAAAGACACCTAAGGTCTAAAACCGTTATTTCGATAAGTCACGTTTCGCCGGTATCGAATGATACATACCCTCCATAGCCATATGGCTGAGGGTATAAAAAAAGAACTTAAAGTAGACAACATTGGTATCTATCGTAAGGTCTTGATTTCCTCGCTAGCTAACCGAAAATTTTCATAATTACCGAAATTATAAGATTTTATTGGACTTAAAAATATTCTGTAAGAATCCTTGAAGAGATTTTTCATAAAAATCCACAAATATTCTTCAAATTAACGTTCTTCCTTCTCTAGAAAATTTCCAATCATTTATTTTTTTTTTTTTCAATTTCTATTCCTTTCAGAATCATACATCTTTAAGGATTTGGACGATTCGCGTAACAGTTTCCAAGATTGGTCACATGAAGAAATTTTCGCTGACGCCCTCAAGAATGGCATTGAATTGGCCAAAAAATTGCGCAAGTTGCAAGAGGAAGTGAATCCGGGTGGCAATGATATTTGGCCGTAAGTACAATGAATATTTCACTACATAATGCAGGACCAGCGAAGACCAAGTGTCTAATTGTTATTCTATGAAAATCGGAATTGAAAAAAGTTTCTAAAAGGAAATGTTTGTCCATAATTTTCTCTTTCGAGCTGAGATTTTCATGGCCTAAGGAGATGGCATTGAAAATTGGAATCTAGCGAAGTTCTAACCAGTTTACGACCCGTTTCGCCGTTGTTTAAGCGGCTCACCAGACATATATGATGCAATTTTTGTGGCTAGATGAAGATCAATGTTGGAAAGTCCGATTGTGATGTGAAACATGTTTTCATTCCAAGTTGGTCTGTAGAAGCCGGTTTTCAATACTCAATATATTCAATGGTAGGCTTTTTCCTACATCAATTGCATTTGTCTTCCCGTTCGGTAGTTTTACAAGTGTGGAAATATTTTCCATGTCACATTTTCATAAGTCAAGAATTCGACCCCTGATTTTTTTTTTTTTTTTTTTTTTTTTGCTTTAATAGAACCGCTTCCCATTTGCTTTGCCCAAACCACTATTAAAAGTCTAATTTCTTTTCAGAGCCCTCTATGGTAGCCCAGATGCATGGGGAGCTATGCCGTCGGGAAATCCATTCTCAGTACATTTCGCCATGATGGTAGGTTGTATTCGCCAACAGGGTACCGATGAACAATACGAAAAATTTGGCAAGCGAGCTGAGAATTTTGAAATTACCGGAGCCTATGCCCAAACCGAATTGGGGCATGGAACATTTTTAAGAGGTTTGGAGACCAGGGCGGATTTTGATCGCAAAACGGATGAGTTTGTTTTGAATACACCCACCATTACATCGTACAAATGGTGGCCCGGTGGATGTAAGTACCACCAAAAACGTTGAAAATAATTTTGAAACAAATTAAAAAATAATTGATTTTATTTTAGTGGGTCATGCCGCCAACTACTGTGTTGTGGTGGCCAATCTCTATATCGACAATGACCCAAAGGGTGTGGCCATGTTTATGGTCCAGCTGCGTGATGAAAAAACTCACATGCCATTGCCGGGCATTGATGTGGGTGATATTGGCAAGAAAATGGGTTTTGCTGGTGTCAACAATGGCTATTTGGGTTTGAAAAATGTAAGGATACCACGAACAAATATGTTGATGCGTCATGCCCAGGTATTGCCCGACGGTACTTATGTCAAGAGTCCTGCTTCAGTATTGGCCTATTTTACCATGGTCTTTGTTCGTTGTTTAATTGTGCGCAACAATTCGACCATGTTGTCAATGGCTTCAACCATTGCCACACGCTACTCGGCGGTGCGCAGACAAAGTCCCATTAATCCCAAGTAGGTGAAAAACGGTTTTCTTTCTTGTCTCCATATTTCATCATCAATTCGATTCCTTTCAGAGAACCTGAGCCCCAAATCATCGATCATGTTACCCAACAAATGAAGCTGTTCCCCGAAATTGCCACCAGCATTGCCTACAGGCTATCATCAACCAAGTTATGGCAATTGTATGATCAAACGGCCGAAGATATCAAATGTGGTGAATTTGGTCGCCTGCCAGAAATGCATGCCCTGGCTTGTTCGCTGAAGGCTTTATGTTCCAGAGATTCGGCAAATGGTGTGGAACGTTTACGTTTGGCCTGTGGTGGTCATGGCTACTTGGCCTCAGCTCAGTTGGCAAATTTATATTCGGCTGCCACTGCTGCCTGTACATATGAGGGTGAAAACACAGTTCTGCTATTGCAAGTTGGTAGATTCCTAATGAAATCATGTCGCATGCTCATGGCTGGCAAGCCTTTGGTACCCACAATTTCCTATTTGCAAGATGCCATCAAAGTTAATGGTCTTGAGAAATGGACGGGATCCTGGCAAAATATTCTGCAGGCCTTACAAATTGCCACAGCACAGTAAGTGGAGTTGAGAGAAATATTTGAAACAGGATCGTTACTCTCTCTTTCTCCCTCTCTCTCTCTATCTTTCTCTCTCTCTCTCTCTATTAATTTTTTCAGTAAAATCCGCATAACATTTGAAAACTTAACTGCTCGCCTTAAGGCTGGCCAAACTGAGGCAGAAGCTGCCAACAATACCGGCATAGAATACACCCAGGCAGCCGAGGTTAGTTTTAAATTTTCCTATGAAACTAAAAATCCTTTTTCCCATATAATATATCCTTTTAATGGAAAACATTTTCTCATTTTAATATTAGTTACACGGCACCTGCTTCGTTGCGGCCACTTTCTTGGAAGAAGTCACAGGACCCAATGCCAAAAATCGCAGCCCTGCCCTTAATAAAGTTTTGGAAAATCTATTGGAATTATTCTTGGTTAATACTGCCCTGAAGTATATGCATGAAATTTTGAGAGTAAGTTTGAAGATTCCTTGTCAGAAAAGCATTTTAATATATGTCATTTCCTCCACCAGGTTGCCAATATTTCCGACATGGAATTGCGTGCCTTGCAAACACGACTGGAAGATGTACTTAAGGCCCTGCGTCCCGATGCCGTAGCCATTTGTGATGGCTTCGATTTTCATGATAGAAATCTGAAATCCACTTTGGGCTCCTATGATGGTAATGTCTATGAACGCATTTTTGAAGAGGCCAAAAAGAGTCCGCTAAACAAGAAACCTGTACCCGATGTTATCTACACACATTTGCAACCATTTATGAAAGCTAAGATGTAAAGATCAAAGCGAAGTCGTGTCTTTTTGTAAATAATTTTGGTATTATTTTGACATTTATTTTAATTAAATTTTATAAAAATTAAATATTTAAACAATTTTTTAATCATAAAAAAAACATTTTTTTTTGTTTGGAGTGTTTTTGGAATTTTTCTAAAGGTTGTTGGATTTCTCTAATGTCTGAGGTTTGATTTTCCCACAAAAAACGTTATTCCGGATATGAGGTTGGATTTTTGCTATAAAAAAACACATTCCCTCAGGACATAAGATAGTTTTTTTTTCGAATCTGCCATTTTGCTCTATATTCTGATATTGGATTTTCAATACAGAAAACATTCCGTGGGATTTTTATAGAAAATAATCTTCTCTGTATTTGACGTTGGATTTTTTCTTCCAAAGAACTGTGGTTGTATTTTATCTAAAATAAAATTTCTTCCGAACATGGGGTCAGATTTTTTTTCTGCCTAAAAATCCTACAGGCTCTCTCTATGAGTGGGGAATTTTTTAGCGAAATATTCCCTTGGATTTTGATGTTGGATTTTCTCTATACAAGGTGAGTTGAAAAAAACTGCAAACTTCAGACTGCTGTCATATCTAAGCCACTCGTCCGACAGCTTTTAAAATTATTTCAGTGTTAGCTCATTATATTGTTTACAAGCGTACAAAAACATATTTGACGAGAAAAAAATATTATTCGTGATGGAATTCAAGCGTGATAGTGCGATTTCTTTATATTTGGCTGGAAAACCACAAGTGGCTATCGTTAGAGCACTCCAGCATTTAAATTTGAATAAATCTTTTGTGTCTCGTGCCATCGCTCATCACCGTGATTGGTAACTGGTAGCGTAGACCGACGTCAAGGAAGTGGATGAAAAAAAAACCGCAACATCAGCAGCAATTGTTCGAAAAGTAAAGAAAAGACTTGATCGAAACCCGCGTCGCAGTGACCGAAAATGGGTCGTTGGCTGAACATAGCGCAATATTCCATTCGGCAAATATTGAAAAATGAGCTCGGGATAAAGCCATTAAAATGCCAAAAAGTGCAAAAACTTACACTGCAACGGAAAGAAAATAGACTCGAAAGAGCTAGAGTTGCTTCGCTTAGCCGAAAGTGGTGAACTGCCGAATTTGGTGTTCTCCGATGAGAAAACATTCGTTGTTGTAAACAAACAAATTGATCGTGTTTACTTGCCAAAGAGGTCAGCTGAAAATGTGCACCTTCGGTTGGCCACCAGAACTCAAGCGCGGGCCATGGTGATGGTGTGAGCCGCCATAACAGCCGATGGTCGCTCTCCTCTCGTACTAATCGACCGTGGCATCAGAATAAATACCGAATATTATCGCGAAAATATTCTGGAGGGTGTATTAAAGCCTTGGGCATGCACACATTTTGGCCGCAGACTTTGGACATTTCAACAGGACTCAGCATTATTGCACTCAGCACGCGCCACCCAAGAATGATTACAAAATGAGATTCCTCGCTTCATTTTATGTTGTAATCACGCCATCTTTCGAACGAATTGAGATAGAAGGCTAACATTTTGCACACATGCTTATTTTTCCAGTAGGCAGGTTAAGTTCATAAATGGGTCATGTAGGTCCACGTTTTCATATAGCCCCCATATAACAGTACCTCCCGATATTCGGTGTTTTGATGATTTTAGCGACATTATTCACCGGAATTGTTTCAAATTTGATATTTGAAGTTCGAAATGGATACTACAGCCTAAGACAGAAAATTGTCTGTGCAAGTCCACGTCTTCGTATAGCCCCTATATAACGGTACCTTCATATATTCGGTATTTTGATGATTTTATCGACATTATTCACCGGAATTGTTTCCAATTACGTATTTAGAGTTGGTAATGGGAACTACAGTCTGTGACAGAAAAATGTCTATGCAGGTCCAGATATCAGTACCTCCCTATATTTGGTATTTTGACGATTTTAAGTACAATACTCACCGTAATTGTTTGAGATGTCGTATTTTAAGTTCGTAATGGATGCTACAGCTTGTGACAGAAAATTATCTATGCAGGTCTAGGTCTTCGTATAGCTCCGATATAAGGGCACCTCCCTATATATGATATTTTGATGATTTTAGCTACATTACTCGCCGTTTATATCAAGTTTCGAATTTGAATATGTTCATGGCTTATGACAAACAAAGCCTATGTAGGTCCACGTCGTAGAGACATCAATATAACGGCTATATTAAGTATTTTTAAGGTTTTAACAGAATTTTTAACGGATTTTATTGTTTTTGAAAATTTCCAAATTCGTTCCAAATGGTGGAGGGTGTTCAAAGTTCGGACCAGCCGAACTTACTGCTTTTTAACTTGTTTCTAATAAAACAATTTTCTCGGTCCCCCTAGTTGGATTTTTTTTTCAGAAAAAAAAAATCCTACAACTTGATGCGGAATATTTCATAGAAAAAATCTGCTATATATTAGAAGTTGAATTTTTTCTCCTTCAGGAAATTCCTTAAAAATATTTATGTCATCCAACAGTGGAATTTGTGTTATCAATCCGTGATGGATTATGGGTATTTTTGCACTTGCAGTACCAAGACAAGTTGGTAGATAAATTTATTTATTCAAACGTGATATATGATGATTTAATACGGATTTTTTCTATAATTAATATCTAAAGGGATTTGTTCTATATAAGAAACTACTAATGACATATGGCTGTATTGCTTCTAAAAAACAAGTTAAAATGTTTTGCCGACAGATGTATACCCTCAGTTAATGTTCGATTATTTAAATATATTATGACTTCTGTTTCGATTTCCTTCGAGAATTATCGTGCGCACCTGCCAGACAGACGGGCGTGTGTACTCACACTCAGTCATTGAGCTTAGCTTTTCCCTAAATGATGAAGAATGAGTTTCTCCCAACAGCACAGTTTCTCGAGAACATACTTTCGTGTTATCAATTAATAGAGGATCTCGTGTTATCAATTCGTGTTGGATTATTATTATTATTTCAAGTCCGTAGTGTAATAGCGCCATAAAGCGTCAACAGAAGTTGGCAAATAAAATTGTTTATTTTCAAACATGATCTATGTTTATTAAATGTATTACAGCACCCAGATATTGATTCTAATCGGATATAAATGACTTTGTATAACTATAAACCACAAAAGCATACATTTTTATTAAAAAAATAAACTCTCTATTTTCACAATTTCGATTTCATAAACGGCTTGAGATGTGTATGAAATACATCCGGAACTGGCTTGGCATTCAATGGATTTGATTTGGCCGCCTCAAAAATACGCTGATACACATTGCCATCGTAACAACCAAGGGTCGACGACATATTTCTATCATGAAAATCAAAACCATCACAAATGGCTACCGCATCGGGACGTATTGTTTTTAGGGATGTTTCCAAACGTTTTTCCAAATCAAGAATTTCAGCTTCGCTAATAGTAATAACCTTGAAAGAAATTACGATAAAAATAATAAAGAAAAAATATTGAAAACTTTGATTACTCACTCTTTGTATATCACTCAGCTTCTTGAGAATTATATTGAGTAAAAATATTTCGAAAAGATTTTCTAAAACTCTATTGAGTTGTGGACTTCTGAAAGATGCACTGGAACCCTTAACTTCTTCGTAAAATATTGAGGCTACGATAACACGGCCATGTAACTGAAATGAAAGGGAAATATATTTTAAAATTAATAAGGGGAATAGGGCCTATTTAAATATTTTTTTAATTAATGTATTTATTTAAGAATAGTTTTCAAAGGATATCCCAGCATTTGCACAGTTATAAGCTTGTATGTTTAAAGACTATTTTTGTAAAAATTTTCATAGCAGAAATATGATTTTTTAATAAAATGAGGGCTATAATTTTTAAAGATTATTTCTATATGATTTTCAGAGCTATAAACGTGGATTTAAAAAAAAGAAAACTTTATAGGAATTTCAAAGTTATAAACATGGATTTTTAAAGATTTTTTTTAGAGTTTTCGGTGCAATGTTTAAAGCATTTTCAGGCATTAATCGTGGATTTTTTAAAGAATATTTTTTAATATATATTTTTTATATATTTTTTTTTAATTTTTGTTATAAACATCGATTTTTAACGAAAATTTTTGTAAGAAATTTTATTTTTTTTTCAATATTTTCATCGTATTTTTATAGCTATAAATGTGTATTTTTTATTAATTTTTAATTGATTTCCAGAAAATTATAGAAATAATACAGATTTGTAAAGAATAGTTTCTGGGGATTTTATAAATATGGATTTTAAAGGATTATGTTCTAGGGCATTGAAAGCTATCAAGATTTTTCTAGGACCCTTAGGTGATGGATTGGATTTTTATTGTAATATTTTCTAAATAATTGTCCTAGGCACATAGTCTGGATTTTCCATACAAAACAAGGAATTAAATTTCTCGAAATTATGTCTCAAACCCGTTGCAGTCATCAATTAATGGTGGATTTTGTGTTATCAACCCGCGATGGATTGCTGTTATTGTTACGCATGCAATGTAATAACGGCATATAGAACCAAGAGAAATTGGCAGAAAAATTCGTTTGCTTTCACATTTATTAGGGGTTTAAATTTAAAAACGTAGGTATATAAAAAAACCAGGACTTTTAGAACATAATCGGGGATTTTTAAATGAATATATTTCTAAGGGTGTACCCTTAAAGAGTATTATTTTAAACCCTCAGCCATATGACTGACTAGTACTTTCAAATCTAAAATTGTGGATTTTTAATTAACTTCCTCCGAGACTTTAAGAGTTGTAAGAGAAGATTTTTGAGTAACATTTTCAAGGACTTTCAGATCTATAAAAGGGGAATTTTTAGAAAATATATTTGAAGGGGTTTATAACCTATAAATAAGATTTTCAAAAGAAATATCTCTAAACTTGAAGTGGATACTTCAAAGATATTTTCCAAGGCCTAACCAAGCTAAAAACAGTTTTTTTTTGTACCCTCAGACATATGGCTAGTTATACCCTCAGCCATATGGCTAGCGAGGGTATATATAATTTGATACGGCTCCACTCCTTCTGGTTCCTCTCCCACAAAATATCAATATTTTCAAAGAAAAATTTACTGCACGGGAAGAGAAATGATAATCCGATTTTTCTCCAACTTTGCAAATCCAAATATTTGCATTAGTGCTAGGCCAGTTTCGATAATGGACAATATCGGTCCCCTCCATCAAATACCTACCCAAAAAGGGTCACACTTTTGAATAATTATAACTCTTATAAAATGTGAGTAAGTGTCCGATTAACATCAAATTGCGCACATAATAATATTTTTTACTAACCCAAGGTCTGGTGTGAAGATGGAATATATCGATCCACTCCTTCTGGTATCTCCCCACAAAGGGTCAACAATTCAAGTCAACATGAAGCTCATAAAAAGCGAATTTAATATCCGATTCCCTTCAGACTTGGCACTTTTCAATATTTCTAAAAACAAAAGATCTGTTAAAAAGATGGTGGGGATCGAAAGGGTCAAAGTTTTGAATAATCAAAACGATTATAATAATAGGGAATAAGTATCCGGTTCTCTGCATATTTCACACATACCACTATTTCTACTAACACAACGTCTGCTCTGATTGGTCCACTCCTTCTGTTACCTACCCCACAAAGGGCCAAAGTTTTGAATATACTCGAAGCTCAAAAAACGCTATATTAACATCCGATTCTATTCAAACTTGGTACATCTTAATATTTCCATCAAAACGAGATCTGTTATAAAGACGGTAGGGATCGGACCATTTCTTCTGGTACCTCCCCCACAAAAATTCAAAATTTTGAAAAATAAAATTTCAAACATACAAACATTTTTTCTAGTACAAGATTTGTTGTGAAGGCGATATATATCTGCCAACCCCTTTTGGTAGCTCACCCACATAGGGTCACAACTTGCGACATTTAAAAACATTTTCCCAGGTCCTTCAATGGTATAAAACTAAATTTATTTCAAAATAATTACCTCGGCAGCTTTTATCAATTCAACGCCGGTGTTATTAAAAGCTTCCGCTTCCGTTTGGCCGGATTTTAAACGTTTTTCGATGCGTTCAAAGGCTAAACGAATTTTGCTATAAAAGTTAAACAAATGATAAAAATGTTATGCTTGCTATTATAATTCGTACTCTTACTTTGCTGCAACAATTTCCAAAATTCGAAGAATATTTTCCCAAGTTCCCGTCCATTTATGGGATGCCAAATCCTCCACAGTATTCCGCAAATATGCCACCAAAGAAGGTACCTCTTCTCCGGCAATTGCCTTGACATAACTTTTCAACAAATACCTTCCCACTGTCAGTAGGAGTACCGTGTTATCTCCCTCATAGGTACATGCCGCACTGCCATCTACATACATGTTGCCCAAATTGGCAGAACTGAGATAACCATGACCACCACAGGCTAAACGTAAACGCTCGACTCCATTCACCACATCACTGGTGCTCAAAACTTTCAGGCAACATGACAGGGCATGCAATTCCGGCAAGGAATCATAGTTCCCCTCGTCTATGTCCCGGGAAGTTTCATAATAACATTGCCATAATTTCTTGGAGGTCAGCTTATAGGCAATGGCATTGCCGATTTCGGGAAATATTTTCATTTGTTGGGTTTGATAGTTCAAAATTTGTACTTCTTGGGAATCGGCATCAACGGAACATTGACGCCTCACTGCCGAATATCGGCTAGCTATGGTACAAGCCATTGCCAACAGCGATGCACTGCTCTCATTTGCCACACAGCGTCCTATGAGGAGGGGTAGAAATTTCACAGCCGTGTTGGGTCCCTTGACATAGGTGCCATCTGGCAACACTTGATCATGACGCATTAACATATGGTTCCGTGGTACGCGAACATTTTTCAATCCCAAGTAGCCATTATTTACAGTGGGAAATCCCATCTTCTTGCCGACATCTCCAATATCTATGCCAGGCAAAGGCATATGCGTTTCTTCGTCACGTATTTGAACCATAAATAAGGCCAGATCCTTGTGGCAGTTGCCAATGTATAACTGGGCCACCACAATGCAATAGTTGGCAGTTTGACCCACTGTAAATAGGGAAAAGGGGGAGGGAATAAATTAATCTTCGCTCAAATTAAAAACTTCGTAATACTCACATCCCCCTGGCCACCATTTGTACGATGTCATGGTGGGTGTATTTAAAATAAACTCCTCCCTTTCCGGATCATAATCGGCCCGGGTTTCCAGACCCCTCAAATATGTTCCATGACCCAATTCCGTTTGAGCAAAGGCACAGGCAATCTCAAGATTCTCAGCACGTTTACCAAACTTTTCATATTGTTCGGCTGTACCCAATTTCTGGATGGCATCCACAATCATTGAATAGTGGACGGAAAATGGATTGGCCGGTGGTAGGGCACCCCATAAATTCGAAGATAAATAGAGACCTCTGTGGGGAAAATAAAAATTTTGAGGAAAATACAAAGCCAGTGATTGGAGGAATACTTACGGCCAAATGTCTTTTTGTCCCGGTCTGAGGAGATCCTGTAATTTCCTTAACTTCTTGGAGACTTTAACGCAGGACTTTATGCCGGCGGTATAAATTTCATCGTGTCGCAAATGTTGAGTGCGAAATATATCTTCGTCCACATCGTCGAGGATGTAGGAATCTAAAAGAATGAACCAAATTCAGACTGCTGTCATTCCTAGGCCATTCGTCCGACAGCTGTTAAAATTATACCAGTGACAGCTCATTGTATTGTTTACACGTGTACAAATGCATTTTGGTGAGAATTTTCCAGAAAAAAAGTTATTCGTGATGGAATTCAAGCGCGATAGTGTGATTTCCTCATATTTGGCTGGAAAACCACAAGTGGCTATCCCTAGAGCACTCCAGCATTTAAATGTGAATAAATCTTTAGTGTCTCGTACCATCGCTCGTTACCGTGATACTGGTAGCGTAGACCGTGTTTGATCGTGTTTACTTTCCAAAGAGGTCAGCGGAAAATATGCACCTTCGGTTGGGCACCAGAACTCAAGCGCCGGCCATGGTGATGGTGTGGGCCGCCATAACAGCCGATGGTCGCTCTCCGCTCGTATTAATCGACCGTGACATCAGAATAAAGGCCGAATATTATCTCGAAATTATTATCTCGAATGCAATCGACAATATTCCGGAGGGTGTATTAAAGCCTTAGGCACGCAAACATTTTGGCCGCAGGCCTTGGACATTCCAACAGGACTCAGCGCCATCGCCCTCAGCACGCTCCACCAAAAATGGTTACAAAATGAGGTTCCTCGCTTCATTTCCAGCGCATAATGGCCACCAAAATCTCCGGATACCCATCCTTTGGACTATTGTGTCTGGAGTATTTTGGAAAGCAAGGTTGGCACTTAAAAATACCAAAGTGTCGATCACCTCAAGCAAGCGCTTCACCGGGAATGGGTCAAAGTACCGCAGAGCAGCATTCGGGCAGCGTGTGACGGTTTCATTGGCCGTATGAAGGCCATATGTTCGAAATCGAACAAATCTAAACTTATTCTAAATTTGATGCTATTTCCGACATTTTTTGCTTTAATTCAATTAAATTAAAACAAAAAAAGGAAAAATTATGGCGTTTGACTTTTTTGCAGTTTTTTATCTAACCCTGTTTATTTTTGACGATTATTTTTCGGAGATGGGTAATATTGGTCCACTCCTTCTGGTACATCTCCCACAAAAGGTCGAACTTTTCAAAAAAATAAAAAAGTCAGATTTTGCTTCAACTTTGCAAATTCTAATATTTGCATCAGGGCTAGGTCAGGGGCGAAAATGGGCAATATTGTCCCACTCCATAAAGTGCCTCCACCACAAAGTTTCAAAATGTTGACTAATTTTTACTCTTACAAAATGTGATGTGAGTCCGATTGTTTTAAATCACACATATCACAATGCTTTTATTAACCCACGGTATGGTGTGAAGATGGACTATATCGGACTCCTTCTGGTCAAAATTTTGTATATACATGAAGCTCATAAAACTCGAAATTAACATCCGGTTCCATTCAGACTTGGTAGATCTTAATGTTTCCATCAACACAAGATCTGTTGGAAAGATGGTAAAGATCTGATCATTTCTTCTGGTACCTTCCCCACAAAGGGTCAACGTTTTGAATAACCAAAACGATCATAAAATCCGAAAAAAATCAGGTTCTCCTCATATTTCAAACATTCCATTATTTCTACTAAAACAAGATATTATGTGAAGATGGGATATATCGATTCACTTGCTCTGGTACCTCTCCCACAAAGGGTCAACATTTTGAATATCCATGAATCTCATAAAAGTCGAAATTAACATCAGATTCCAATCTATTATGTTATGTTCGAAAACTTATTGAAAAAAATATTTCATAAGTCATCCACGATTTGTAGTCAAAAAAAATTTAGAATATCCACAATTGTAGCTAAAATTGCTTTAAAAAACTCCACAATTCCAAGAATTCTCTCAGTCGAAAAACTTACCCAAAAATCGTTTAAATTTCAATTTCTCTTCACTGCCGTACCACCACTTGGCAAATTCCTCCACATCGAATGTCGCCTTATTTCTTTCATTTTGCAAATCGGGATTTATTTGTTTGCCTCCAAGGAAATTCATTTTCGACACGCGCACCGAAGATACGACTTTATGTTACAAAACTGGAATTTGTACTGAATTTCAGACAAATATTGAAAAAGTATTGAAATTTGAAATTAAATAGATGCACGGTGTTTCTAAATCAAAAAAAAAAAAAAAAAACATTGCGTGAGGTATTCATTATCTTGAAAATAACACATAGATTGTTCAGAACAAAAAATTCCGGAATTTTTTAAATTTTCGCCGTATTGGGAAAATCCCCATTAAAAAATGGGTTTACTGTCGTTTCGATAAATGCTAATATTTACTTGGCTCTCACATGTGTTTCTTTGAATCGAGTTTATAATCTGTATTTGATTTTGATCGCTTCCTACCGCAACATTTAACTCAGATATATGAGTGTATTTAATTATTTAACTTTTTGGAAAGTATTATTTTTTCGGTGTTGGTAACAAATCAAAATTTCGATTTTATTAATTTATTTAAGTTCAGTCACCTTCAGACTTTAAATAAATTAATTCTTCAAGAATCATTCTTTCAAAGTTCGCGATTATAGCATTGTAATCGTTGAAAATTCTTCCTAAAAAAGTAAAAGTAACAAATAAAAAAGCCAAAGCCCTCCACCATTTGGAACGAATTTGGAAATTCTCAAAAAAAAAAAAAACATTCGACAAAAATTCTGTAAAAATCTTAAAATTACCGAATATTTTCCTTATATTGGGGTCTATACGAAGACGTGGACCTGAATAGGAGACTTTTGTCACAAGCCATTACAATATTGAATATATGGGGCTTTTATGTGGGCTCTACGATATCTTGAACCTATACAGATATTTATCTTCCAGGGAGAAAGTGCTTGAAAAGAACTTCTAATATGGATTTTTAAGCAATTCCATTGAGAAATTTAGCTAAAATCATCAAAAAACTGAATATCGGCGGGGGGTTGGAGGGAGGGTACAGTTATATGAGAACTCCTTGTGTGGATTTTCAGACAATTCCGTTGGAAAATATGGCTAAAATCATCAAAATACCGGATATCGGGGGGTACCGTTGTATGGGGGCTATACGATATCGTGGACCTATATAATCAATTCTCTTCCAGAGGGTAAAATACTCGAACAGAACTCCTTCTGTGGATTTTCAGACAATTCCGTTGGAAAATGTGGGCAAAATCATCAAAATATCGAATATCGGGGGGTACCGTTCTATGGGGGGCTATACGATATCGTGGACCTATATTAACAATTCTCTTCCAGAGGATAAAGTACTCAGAAAGAATTCCTTGTGTGGATTTTCAGACAATTCCGTTGGAAAATGTGGCTAAAATAATCAAAATACCGAATATCGGGGGGTACCGTGGTATGGGGGCTATACGATATCGTAGACCTTTATAAACAATTCTCTTCCAGAGGGTAAGGTGCTCAAAAAGAACTCCTTGTGTGGATTTTCAGACAATTCCATTGGAAAATGTGGCCAAAATCATCAAAATTCCGAATATCGGTTGGTACCGTTGTATGGGGGCTATACGATATATGGACCGATAAATCCCATCTTCGAACTTGACCTACCTGCAGATCAAAGACTGATCTGTGCAAAATTTTAGCTTCCTATCTTTATTCGTTTTGACTCTAGCGTGATTACAACAGACGGATAGACGGACGGACGGACGGACAGGGCTAAATCGTCTTAGAATTATACGCCGATCAAGAATATATACTTTGTTATGTCTAAAATTATTATTTCGATGAGTTACAAACGGAATGACGAACTTAATATACCCTCCATACTATGTATGGTGGAGGGTATGAAAACGCTCCTAAGTTCGGCCGGGCTGGACTATTGGACGGAACTTGAAAAATTTAACCAAAACAAGTTAAAAAGCAGTAAGTTCGGCCGGGCCAAACTTTGAATACCACCACCACCATTTGGAACGAATTTAGAAATTAAAAAGAAAATAAAATCCTTAAAAAAAATCTGTTAAATTTTAAAAATACCGAATATTGCCGTTATATTGGGGTCTATACGACGTGGACCTACATAGGCATTGTTTGCCATTAGCCATTACCATATTCAAATTCGAAACTTGAAATAAACAGGTGAATAATGTAGCTTATATCATTAAAATATCGTATATAGGGAGGTACTATTATATCGGAGCTGTGCGAAGATTTGGACCAGCATAGACAATTTTCTGCCACTGGCTATAGCATCCATTACTAACGTCAAATACGATATCTCAAACAATTTCGGTGGGTATTGTACCTAAACTCGTCAAAATACCGAATATAGGCAGGTACTGATATATGGTGTCTATACGAAGACCTGGACCTGCATAGACATTTTTCTGTCACAGACTGTAGTTCCCATTACGAACTCTAAATACGTAATTAGAAACAATTCCGGTAAATAATGGCGCTAAAATCATCAAAATACCGAATTTTGGGAGGTACCGTTATATGGGGGCTATACGAAGACGTGGACCTGTACAGACAATTTTCTGTCATAGGCTGTAGTATCCATTACGAATCTCAAATACCAAATTTGAAACAATTCCGATGAATAATGTCGCTAAAATCATTAAAATACCGAATATCGGAAGGTACTGTTATATGGGGGCTATATGAAACCGTGGACCTACTTGGCCCATTTACGAACTTAACCTGCCTACTGGAAAAATAAACATGTGTGCAAAATTTTAACCTTCTCTCTCAATTCGTTCGAAAGATAGCGTGATTACAACCGACAGACGGACAGACAGACAGCCAGCCAGATAAACGGACATGGCTAAATCGCTGATCAAGAATATATATACTTTGTTGGGTCTGACATGAGTATTTCGAGGAGTTACAAACGGAATGACAAAGTTAATATACCCTCCATAGTATGGTGGAGGGTATAAAAATTGCATAGACAAATAAAGTGAAAACCGTTAAATGGGGGCGATACGAAGACGAGCACCTGCATACGCAATTTTACGTCGTAGATTGAACTACCCATTAGGAACCTCAATTACGAACTTTAAAACAATTCCCTTAAATAATGTCGCTAATATCATGAAAATACCGAAAAAAAGGGATTCGAACGGCCAAACGCTACCCGAATGTGGCTCTGCGGTATTCTGGCCCATTCCCGGCGAAGCGCTTGCTTGAGGTGATCGACACTTTGGTATTTTTTAGTGTCAACCTTGTATTCCAAAATACTCCAGACACAATAGCCCAACGGATTGGTATCCGGAGATTTTGGTGACCATTGCGCGCTGCAAATGAAGCGATGAACCTTATTTTGTAACCATTCTTGCGTGGCGCGTTCAGAGTGTTATGGTGCTGAGTCCTGTTGGAATGTCCAAGGTCTGCGGCCAAAATGTTTACATGCCCAAAGCTCCCTCCAGAATATGTTCGCGATAATATTCGGCATTTTTTCTTATGTCACGGTCGATTAATACGAGCGGAGAGCGACCATTGGCTGCTATGGCGGCCCCCACAATCGCAATGGCCGGCGCTTGAGTTCTGACAAAAAAAACCACCACTCTCGGCCAAGCGAATCAACTATTTAGCTCTTTTGAGTCTATTTTCTTTCTGTTGCGGTGTAAGTTCTTGCATTTTTTGGAATTTCAATGAATTTACCTCGAGCTCATTTTTCAATATTTGCTGAATAGAAAATTGCGACAGGTTCAGCTCACGAGCCATTTTTCGATCAAGTCGCTTCTTTACTTTTCGAACCATTTCTGCTGATGTTTCTGTTTTCTCCCGTCCACTTCCTTGACGTCGGGCTGCGCTACCAGTCACCAATCACGGCAACGAGCGATGGTACGAGACAAAAAAGATTTATTCACATTTAAATGCTGCAGTGCTCTCACGATAGCCACTTGTCGTTTTCCAGTCAAATATAAAGAAATCACACAATCACGCTTGGAATAATTTTAACAGCTGTCGGACAAGCGGCTTAGAAATGACACCAGTCTGAAGTTGGTTGCAGTTTTTTTCACTTCACCATGTATGGTACAATTAAGTACTTTTCGGGCACTTGAAGTAGGCATTTCCAATCCATCACTTTTTCATAAACCTGCTATCAACAAGGACCCTGAAATTCCAGCTTCATCCGTTCACACTAAACCAAAATGTCCCAAATTTAGTACCATTTTGTAGAATTCACACAAATTTCCATATCTCAAACATAGATACCAACAGTTGCCTAAATGTCAAACTTCAGAAATTAATCTCTATCCCTTTACCCGTTATTAAATAAAAAATAGTACCATTCAGTACTTTTCGTACAGTTATGGTACGCATTTCCAAAAACACCCCCATATGTCCAGGCTACACATGAATAACTAACCTAAAACCAAAATTTTGATTTCAAGCACTATATGTTCACTTAAACCAAATTGCACCAATTTTAGTACTATTTAGTACTTTCCGTGCACTTGTAGTAGACATTTCCAAAACCACCTATTTTTCATGAACCTACCATCAACAGGGACCATTAATACAAAATTTCAAAATTCCAGCTTCGTCCATTCACCCTAACCTAACCGTTTCAATTTTAGTACCACTTAGTACAGTTCGCAGACTTGGTACAAATTTCCAAAACCACCTTGTTGTATCAAACTAAGGCTGGAAATACATAAAGCGCATATTTGGCTGGCTTAAGTCATCGGCTGGCTTCTTCGTAGATGAACAAAGGAGTTTTAGGTTGACCTAGTTCGATTTTGGCCCTAGGCTCCTTTGTTCATTTCCGAAGAAGCCAGCCGATGACTTAAGCCAGCCAAATTAGCGCTTTATGTATTCCCAGCTTAACTTTCCAACTATGACTCTCATACCGAATTTTAAGTTTTTCGCTCTATCCGTTTACATAATACCAAATGGTACCATTTTAGACATTTCGTACTATTTTAGAACTATTGGTAACCTTAAAGCACGAATAGTACCATATTAGAAACGAAGTACTATTTTCGAAATATTTGCAAGCTTTATATTCGAATATCCAAAGACTATTAGGTACATTCAGTACTTTTCGTACATTTTAGTACGAATTTCCAATAACCCCAGCCTTGTCAGACGCCCACGCACCAAGACTGGCCCGCGTGCCAAATTTTAAGATTCCAGCTTCATTCGTTGACCCTAACTCAAATTGTTCCAAATTAAGTACCATTTAGTACAGTTCGTACACATTTCCAAAATCACTCTCATATATATCGAACTTACTTTCCAACCTTGAGTCTCATAACAAAGTTCAAGTTATTTTTCTCGATTCGTTCACATAATACCAAATGGTACCATTTTAAAAAATTCAGTACCATTTTAGAACTATTTGTAACCTTAATGTTCGAATGATACTATTTAAGAAAGGAACTACTATTTTCGAACTATTTGTGAGCTCAAAATTCGAATTTCCAAAGATTTTTCGTACCTCTCTAGACTTTTCGTATCTTTTTAGTACTTTTCGTACCCTTTTAGTACGAATTTCCAAAAACCCAACCTTATCACACGGCTATGCACCAAGACTGACCCTCGTGGAAATTCTCAAGATTCTTGCTTTAGCCATTTTTCTACTGGCCGTTGATACTCTCTCAATAAGTTACTACTCTTTTGTATTTAGGCAGGATCTACTGAGTAATATTTTATTACACTAATACACAAAATAATTTATAACAATAACAAAATTAAGCAATTTCAAAATAGATCAAAAATTCCACAATAAATTTACAAAAAATGCATTACATCTTCGATTTCATAAATGGCTTCAAATGCGTATGGAAGACTCTCGGCACCGGCTCCTTGTTCAGGGAACAATTTTTGGCCTCCTCAAAGATGCGCTCATAAACATTGCCATCGAAACAGCCCAAAGTCGATAAAAGATTACGATCGGGAAAATCAAAACCATCACAGATGGCCACAGCATTGGGGCGCATTGACTTCAGCGACTTCTCCAAACTTGCCTGCAAGGAGTTCACATCTTCATCGGTAATTTTGACAATCTGAAAAATTGATTTCATTATTGAATTTGAATATTGAAAAAGAATTTTATTCACTGTTCTTACTCGGAATATATTATTCATGTTGTCCAGAGCCGCCTTAACCAAATACAACTCCAAAATATTTTCCAAAACTTTATTGAGGGCCGGTGACCGGGTTTTGGCATTGATGCCGGTCACTTCTTGCAAGAAATTGGCGGCAATGAAGGAACGACCATACAACTGAAAGTTTTGAGATTTTATTCAAATAAATAAACAAATTTTTAATATTATTTAAAAAAAATGTAAAATCAAGAGCCTTACCTCCGCAGCCTGGGTCAATTCAATACCCGTATTATTGGCAGCTTCACCTTGGGTTTGTCCAGCTTCCATGCGGGCCGCTATGTTCTTCAAAGCCTGATGAGTTTTACTATATGGGATATTAAAAAATTAAATAGTTTTCTGTTGACTCTCTGAGTTATCGCCGTGGCCTTTTTGAAAATTTCTGCCAAGAACTTTCTAAATTATCAATGTGTATTTTTTTACCCTACACCACAAAATGGTAAGGGTATTATGTCTTTATGCATTTGTTTGTAACAGGAAGAAGGGAGCGAGATAGATTCATAGTTACTTTTGAGGATCTTCATAGAATCACCTTCTGAGTTGATTTATGCATGTCAGTCCATGTATTCTTATGGAAAAAATGCAGATCGCATTTATTATCCAATTGAGATGACATTTTTCAAACAATATTTGTTTGGCCCAAGGACGAACCCTATTGAAATTGTCGATAATCGGATCAGATTTAGATATAGCTTCCGTATATCTTGAACCGATTTCGGGTTAATTGTGCACCAAATGGCTAATATAAGTCTAAATGACCTGCATTTTGGTACATCGCACCGAAATCAGTCTAGAACCAAGTTACTCAAATTTGAAATTTGAAAATTGGTACTGATATAGCTATAACTCCCATAAACATGTTTAATCCGATTAGAGGTTTAAAGTCCCTCACATGCCTAATATGCACTCCAGAAGAATGATATTTGGTACCGGACATCAGATTCTGCTGGAAAATAAGTTTTATTGAGATCGGTTCAGATTAGGATATTGCTCCCACATACATCTTTATCTGATATCATTATGAAATTTGGCAATTACGACTGAATTCATCCTATAAACTAGTACCTCAAATTTTGTGTAAATCGGTTCAGATATAGCTATAGTTCCCATATATAAGTTTAATCCGATTTGGGGTTTTAAGTCCCTCACAAGCGTAATATGCATTCCACAACAATGATCTTTGGTATCAGATATCAGATACTGCTTTGAAATAAGTGTATCAAATTTTATCAAGATCGGTTCAGATTTGGATATAGGTCCCATATATATATCTTTAACCGATTTTGGGTTAATTGTGCACCAAATGGCCAATATCAGCGCAAAAGTTCTGAATTTTGGTACATACATCCGACCGAATTTAGTCTAGAAGTAAGTACATCGAATTTGGAGAAAATAGGTTCTAATATAGCTATAGCTCCAATATACATATATATTTAATCTGATTTGCGGTTTAAAGTCACTCACATGCGTAATATGCATTCGACAACAATGATTTTTGGTACCATATATCTTATAGAGAGCTCGAAAATACATTTAACGAGATCTGCAAGCTTTATTGGGCAAATATTGAGTGAATTTCGGGACGTACGTTGCCATTTTGTGAAACTCGGCTCCAATATATATATTTTTTTAATATAACCCTTTTCGAAGTGGTATCATACATTCTATAACAATGTAATTTGGTATAAAATATTAAAATGTCTCCGTCAAATTTAGTGAAAATCGATTCAGAATTGGATATTCCTCCCATATATTAGTTCCCTCTGAAACCAAACCATAACTGCTCTAAAGCCAAATGTTGGTAGGTGGTACTTCAAATACATTCTTTTGTTATGGGAGCTCTACTTAATAAGCATAGTCGACTTTTGACTTTTCCTTACTGGTTACCCTTTGGAAAGAATATTCTTCAAGGACTCCTTTATCTAAAAATGGAATCATTTTTTGAAATATTTTTTTGGAACACTATCAACGTGTTTTTGTTTTTAATATTTCTTCAAGGATCCTCTGATCAAAAGGCTTGAATTTATAAAGGATTTACTTTTTTAAGGAACCTTTGATCTACGGTCGTGGGTTTTTAAAGACTAAATTTTATTGCAAACGTGGATTTTTAACGGATTAATAAACGTGGATTTTTAACGGATATTTTTCAAAGACCCTTTGATTAATAAACGAGGATTTTTAAACAATATTTTCAAAGACTCTTTCAAATAAAAATGGGAATTTTTTAATGAATAATTTTTATGGACTCATTTATCTAAAAATTAAATTTTTCTATAACTGGATTTTTTTGAAAAATATTTTTCAAGGACATTGCCATACGATAGATGGTTTTTTTAAAGAAAATTTATCTACGGGTTTATTAGATTTTTAAGGATTTTTCATGGTCCATCTAAGCTATAAACTTTGTTTTTTTTTTTCTTTTTTTTTGAATTTCTTCAAGGATCATCCGAGTGTTCAAGGTGTGTTCTGAGAAATATTTTTTTGAAGGACTATCGTGAGACTGTCAAATTAAACCCCTGAGAACTTTAGTGTCTTTTGCGCTCTCAAGTTAGCTAAAAGAACACAGCAAGAAAATGGATGGAACAAAAATTTTAAATCGAAATTTATTGGGCGCCACTTTTTTTAATGATTTAAGAAAAAACACGTAGAGCATTATTGAAGCCATAGAATACTTAGTCGTTTTTATTAAGGATTATGGTTTTCATTTTCGATATCCTTCGTGGGACTCGGAGCTATATTGAGGAGTGAATTAGTGAAGTTTTATAGCGAATTTTCTAGAAAGACCTTGAGAAACATTTGTTTGAAGGACTATCGAAGCTATTTTGTATGGAAACTTTCCTAACGATAATCACATATTATTCAAATACTATCGGATCCAGTTTTCGATGGACATTTTTCGAAGATATGCTGAGGAAAATCTTTCACGGGACTACTGGGGCTATAATAGTATATCTTTATAGAAAATTTTCTTGAAAGATCTTATTAGATCTTTGAGAACATTTTTTTAAGGACGATCGAAGCTATTTTCTGTGGACATTTTTCCAAGGATAAACGAATATTTTTCAAAGGGCAATCGGATACATTTTTGATGGATATTTTTCGAAGCTATGCCGAAGAATATCTTTCAATGCACCACTGGAGCTATTATAGGGGATCTTTAGGGGGATATTTCTTGAAAGTCCGTAGTTAACCTTCAAGAACCATTTTTTGAAGAACTATCGAAGCTATTTTCTATGGACATTTCCCCAAGGAAAATCGAAGCTAGAAATGTGGAATGTTTGTACGCCAAGCTATAACTTTGCCAAAGGAACCACTTACTTTGCCGTTGCACACTCTAAAGCCTCAACAATATTCTCCCAGGAACCACTCCATTGATCCATCTTAATTTTCGCCAAATATGATGCTGTTGGAGCCAACGGTTTCCCCGCCATTACTTGCTGAGCAGATTTCATCAAGAAGCGTCCAACTTGTAGCAGCAGCACGGTATTCTCTCCCTCATATGTGCAGCCAGCCGTTGCGGTGGAATACAAATTACTTAGATTCGAGGAGGCCAAATAACCATGACCACCACATGCCAAACGCAGGCGTTCAATACCCGCTGCCGAGTCCGAGGTGCACATTACTTTCATGGCACATGACAGGGCATGAATTTCCCCCAAACCATCATATTTCCCCTTCTTTATGTCCCTCTCCGTTTGGTGGTAGAGTTGACGTAGTTTCAAAGCAGCCAAACGATCGGCAATACAGGTGGCAATTTCGGGGAAAAGTTTCATTTGCTGGGTCACATAGTCCATGATTTTCACCTCAGGTTGTCTGAAAAAAATACATTCAATTTATTTTCTTTAATTGTAATAATTAAAAATGTTCTAACTTGGGATTAATGGAGCCCTGCCTTCTCACCGCCGAATATCTGGTCGCTATGGTGGCAGCAATGGCCAACATTGTTGTATTGTTGGCCGATATCCAACAACGTCCAAATACCATTGAAAAGTAGCCCAAAGCAGCTGCCGGACTTTGTATGAACGTTCCATCGGCCTCTACTTGGGCATGGCGCATCAGCATATTCGTGCGTGGTATCCTTACATTTTTCATACCCAAATAGCCATTGTTAACACCATAGAATCCCAGTTTTTTACCAACATCTCCAATATCAATGCCCGGCAGGGGCATGTGGGTCTCCTCGTCACGTATGGGTACCATAAACATGGCCACACCTTTGGGTTTATTGTCGATATACAAATTTGCCATGACCAGGCTATAATTGGCCGAATGACCCACTGGAAACGGAATTAAATACCATTCAATTCTTGAAAATATATTCGTCCCTACTCACATCCTCCAGGCCAAAATTTGTACGCCGTAATTGTGGGAGTATTCAAAACAAATTCATCGGTTTTACTATCAAAATCTGCCCTGGTCTGCAGGCCCCTCAAAAATGTTCCATGACCCAACTCCGTTTGGGCAAATGCCGCACATATCTCCAAATTCTCAGCCCGCTTGCCAAACTTTTCAAATTGTTCATCCGTGCCCTGATTACGAATGGCATCGACCAGCATGGAAAAATGTACAGTAAAGGGGTTGCCACCAGGCATGGCACCCCACAGCTCGGGACCACTAAAGAGACCTCTGAAAGGGAACAACAATTTCATTAATTATTTAAAGAGATAAAAATCCACCTCAACGCTTACGGCCAAATGTCTTTTCCTCCCGGATTTAATTCCTTTTGTAATTTACGCAATTTCCCCGCCAATGCGAGGGCATCTTCCATTGCGGCAGCATAGATTTCATCGTGAGAGAGGCTTTGTATGCTGGCCACAGTTTTGTTTTCATCAATATCGGCAAATACCGAGGATTCTGAAATGGTAAGATATGACAACAGTTTTAAACAGTTTTACATTGATATCACTCGGGCGCCACTTTTTTGTTGATAATTAAAATAAACTCAGAAAGCATTTATTGATACAAAGTTACAAAATAAATAAGAAAAAAAACACTATGTTCGTCCGGGTCGAACTTTTAATACCCTCCATCTGTGGGTAAAAAAAACATTTTTATATAAAAGTATCTGAATTCAAACGTGTTCCACTTTAAACTATAATGTTGTTAAACTTTTCAAAAAAAAAAAAACAAAGTGGGTGAGGCGGTTGAATTGCGCCATTCCAAAACGGAAACCTCCATAGACAACTTTATATTTCAAGGATTATCATCTACCAAATCTTCTTAAATACAAAATTTGAAACAGTTTTATGGGTAAATGTGACTAGGATTATCAAAATACCGAATATCGGTGGGTATCGTTATATGTGGGCTTTAGGAAAACGTGGATCTAAATATTCAATGTTCTGCCACCGGAGCTAGAAACCATTATGAATTACAAATACCAATTTTAAGACAAATCCCTGGAAATGTGGTAAAAATCATCAAAATATCGAATATATGGGGGCTATGACAAAACGTGGACCCATGTATACTAAGTTCCGCCACCGAAACTAGAACACATTACGAACTACAAATACCAATTTTTAGTCAAAACTCTGGAAATATGTGGCGAAAATCATCAAAATACCCAATATACCAAATTTTGAAGCTCTACATATGTACAGGGTGAGATAAAAAAACTGCAACAATGAAATCATCACACGCGGCCCAAGTGTTGCTGTGCGGTATTTTGGCGAAGTGCTTGCTTGAGGTGATCGACACTTTGGTATTTTTTAGTGCCAACATTGCTTTCAAAAATACTCCAGACACAATAGTCCAACGGATTGGTATCCGGAGATTTTGTTGGCCATTATGTGCTGGAAATTAAGCGAAAAACCTCATTTTGTAACCTTTCTTGGATGGCGCGTGCTGAATGCGATGGTGCTTAGTCCTGTTGGAATGTCCAAGGACTGCGGCCAAAATGTTTGCGTGCCCAAGGCTTTAATATACCCTCCAGAACATTTTCGCATTTAATCTGATAACCATCGGCTGTTATGGCAGTCCACACCATCACCATGGCCAACCGAAGATGCACATTTTCAGCTGACCTCTTTGGCATGTAAACGCAATCATTTTGTTTGTTTACACACTTCTGGACAACGAATGTTTTCTCACCGGAGAAAACCAAATTCGGTAGTTCACCACTTTCGGCCAAGCGAAGCAACTCTTTGGCTCTTTTGAGTTTATTTTCCTTCCGTTGCGGTGTAAGTTCTTGCACTTTTTTTAAAATTTCAATGGCTTTAGTCCGAGCTCATTTTTCAATATTTGGCGAATGGGATATTGCGATATGTTCAGCTCACGAGCCATTTTGCGACCACTGCGACACGGGGTTCGTTCAAGTCGCTTCTTTACTTTTCGAACCATTTCTGCTGATGTTGCTATTTTCTTCCGTCCACTTCCTTGACGTCGGGCTACGCTACCAGTCATCAATCACGGTAACGAGCGATGGTACGAGACACAAAAGATTTATTCACATTTAAATGCTGGAAAATTCTCACCAAAATGATTTCTTACGCTTGTAAACAATACAATGAGCTGTCGCTGAAATAATTTTAACACCTATCGGACGAGAGGCTGGGAAATGGCAGCAGTTTGAAGTTGGTTGCAGTTTTTTCATCTCACAGTTATATCGGACCGATCATTCCAACAAGTATCCAGTAGCCGAATCCGAAATTTACAGATAACTTTTGGGCAGACAATTGTATATTATTTAATAGGGCGCCGTTCCGATGGACTTTAAAAAAGTCATTCTTTGAGGACATTTAAAAAAACATTCAGTGTGAACAAACAATTTTGCTCTAAGAAATGTATTACCCTCTGGCTTTAAAGTATTCCATGATCTTCTTCAACTCTCTTCAGGTGATGTATTAGTTACATTACTTCATCTGTTGAAATTTATCTAACCTTATTGGCAACAAAATACAACTGCTTTAAATATTTATCAATTGGGCGCCACATCATCAAATCCATCAAAATTCTTCATAATGATCCAGTAGAGTAGAATTTAGAATTTACATATAGCTTCTGAACATGCTACTTTATATTATGTAATTGCAATGTTAATTAGGCGCCTCTTTCGTAAGAAATATGTATTAACCTTTCGTATCTCATGACCTTGTCCAGTTACCACATTTCTGATCCAAACTTAACCAAAAAAATACATCTGCTTTAAAAATTTATTAATTGGGCGCCAATTATATTTCTCGATATGTCTGCCCACTTAAAATCTGAAGGAAACTTCGATAAGGATGTCAAATATAAAATTGACAGTTTCAAATAATTCTCCAGAATCTTCCGGTTTTGCTTAGCCATTGAATTTACTTACATTTTGAGGGGAATAAAGGTGAGAATACATAAAAGACTTTTTTGACTGGCTTAAATCATCGGCTGGCTTCATCGTAGAGGAACAAAGGATTTTAGGTTGACTTAGTTCGACTTGGCCCTACGCTTCTGTGTTTTTTTCCGAAGAAGCCAGCCGATGACTTAAGCCAGTCAAAAAAGTCTTTTATGCATTCTCACCTTAACCCATAATATCTCTCAAATTCATTTGTAAAACAGATTTTTAACATTGTAATAATTTTCGTGAATAGAGCTCTGTTTCAAGTCGACTTTGATTTGAATTCGAATTGTATTTCTTTAAAAGAGATCAAAGTACAAACAGTTCATTTCTCAGCTATAAATTGCATACTCTTCTTCTCATTAACTCACCCACATATCTCTTTCGTTTCAAATTCTCTTCACCACCATGCCACCAGAGAGCAAAATCCTCAACATTAAAAGTTGCCGCATTTCGTTCTTCTTGGATATCGGGGTTGACAGTCTTGGGAATAATACTGCTGCCTCTGTCACTTGTTGCCATTTCTCGCCTATGAATTAACGACGCGTTACGTCTCTACAATCAATCGAACAGAATGCCAAATGAAGTGCAAACAATTAAATCTAAAATCCAACTAAATTAAATTTTTGACCAAATACCCACTGCCAATTGAAAAACTAATCTAGTTAAACGCATTTTTTACCAGACAGAATGGAGAACTAAAACAAGTACCGAGAACTTATGAGTGGCGTATCTACCATGCAAAGCTATAGACCACAACTGAAGCGTATTTTTCAATTGTTTATGTTGCTCTTGGGAATCCATTCGCTCTTACAGCAAGAGCGTCGTAATGACCAAAAGCTTTTTTCTACTTCTCCCATTCTATTTTGACTATCTCAACTATATGTCTCGTAAATGTACGATAACCAATCTTTGATGTGTCTAAAGACTAGCTATAGTGGTTCGAATTGGACAAAAATAATTGGATAATTACAAAAGGAATCTGTATGAAAAATCTATTAACAAATAAATGTAGAAAGAACAGGGTTGGACAAATAACTGAAACAAAGTCAAACTCCATAATTTTCATTTTTTTTTTAATTTTATTGAATGAAACAGCATCAAATTTTAGAATAAGTTTAGATTTGTTCGAATTGGTCACCTTTGGCACGAATTATGGCCTTCAAACGGCCAATGAAATCGTCACACGCTGCCCGAATGTTGCTCTGCGATATTTTGGCCCATTCCCGGCGAAGCGCTTGCTTGAGGTGATCGACACTTTGGTATTTTTTTCGTGCCTTCCCAAAATACTCCAGACGCAATAGTCCAACGGATTTGTATCCCGAGATTTTGGAGGCCATTGTGCGCTGGAAATGAAGCGAGGAACCTCATTTTGTAGCCATTCTTGGGTGGCGCGTTATGAGTCCTGTTGGAATGTCCAAGGTGCGCGGCCAAAATGTTTGCGTGCCCAGGGCTTTAGCACACCCTCCAGATTATTTTCGCGGTAATATTCGTCATTTATTCTGATTATTTATTTTATTCCACGGTCGATTAATACGTGCAGAGAGCGACCATCGGCTGTTATGGCGGCCCACACCATCACCAGGATGCACATTTTCAGCTGACCTCTTTGGCAAGTAAACACGATCATTTTGTTTGTTTACAAACTGCTGGAAAACGAATGTTTTCTCATCGGAGAAAACCAAATTCGTCAGTTCACCACTTCATGGCCAAGCGAAGGAACTCATTAGCTCTTTTGAGTCTATTTTCTTTCTGTTGCTGTGTAAAGGTGGAAATGCATAAAGCGCTAATTTGGCTGGCTTAAGCCGTCGGCTGGCTTCTTCGTAGAGGAACAAATGAGTTTAAGGTTGGCTTAGTTCTATTTTGACCCTAGGCTCATTTGTTCATTTCCGAAGAAACCAGCTGATGACTTAAACCAGTCAGTTAAGCGCTTTATGTATTCCCACCTTCAGTTCTTGCAATTTTTTGAATTTCAATGGCTTTACCCCGAGATCATTTTTCAATATTTGCCGAATGTCCATTTTTCGGACACTGCGACACGGGTTTCGATGAAGTTGCTTCTTTACTTTTTTAACCATTTCTGTTGATATTTTCTTCCGTCCACTTCCTTGACGTCGGGCTACGCTACCAGTATCACGGTAACGAGCGATGGTACGAGACCCAAAAGATTTATTCATTTTGAAATGCTGCAGTGCTCTAACGATAGTCACTTGTGGGTTTCCAGCCAAATACAAAAAAATCACGCTTGAATTCCATCACGAATAACTTTCTTTCTGGAAAATTCTCACCAAAGTGATTTTGTACGCCTGTAGACAATATAATGAGCAGTCACTGGCATGGTAGAAGAATATAGGTAGACGCGTCGACACAGCTGCTGGGACAATGAACTGTCAAACCAATTTTGGAATTGAAAATGTTGAATGAAAAATTATTTAAATTTGTAAAAAACGCAAATTATAATAGCCTCCGAATGACGTACTTATATTTGAAAAAAATTTTAATTTTTTTGACATATCAATGCTCCCGAGCGTTGATGCATCTACCTGTATTCTTCTGCCATGCGAGCTATGTTACGAGAAACAAAAGATTCACATTATGCTAGGAACACAATTGGAGCGGACGACGAATTTCGCCCTACGCGGCGACAAAATGAGCCGCGAAAATTCGTCGTATGGAACACAATACCGACGAAATTATAAAACAGCTGATGAAGTTGTTTACTTTTTGCTCATTTGTTGACCACAATGAATTATACAAGAACACATAATTCTTTACGTTCTCTATTATAATTTCACTTATGTCCATCTTCTCTATTATAAATTCACTGATATCCATCTTCACTCAGGCGCATGTACACAAATAAATAAACAAATTAATTATGTTTTTTTATACGAGTAACAGATAGTAGAGTGACCATAACAAATTTTAAAGTAAAAAGTAACTTTATTTACTAAAACACATAAAATTCGTACAAGTATGGCCACCTTGTACTGTTTTGTTCGTATGAAATAGAAATAAAGCTAATTGAGTTCGCGGCGACCGACGAAATTTTCGCCGGTGCCGTGATTGTGTGCACTTCCATATACACATATGTGTTTTATTTTTGACGACGAACATACGCCGCGAAAAAATTCGTCGTTCGCTCCAATTGTGTTCCTAGCATTAAAATGCTGGAGTGCTCTAAAAAATATTTTTTTTCTGGAAAATTATCACCAAAATGCTTTGGACGCTTCTAAACTTGAATAATTTTAAAAGCTGTCGGACGAGTGGCTTAGAAATGACAGCAGTCTGAAGTTGGTAGCAGTTTTTCCATCTCACCCTATATATGTATGAATGTATTTAACATTTTTTAATGGTTTTATGCAGATTCGTCATCTTTTTGTCTTTTCATTAACGCATTCTATTACACCAGCTGTAGTGTAAATATTGCCTTATATGCCACAGAGCATTATTAAGTTGCACCGCTGCAAACATCTATCAGCTGATAACATGTTATCCTTTTTTTGCATTTCCTTAAATTTTGGCAATTCTACTTGTCATCTCTTCTCTCGCTAAGCAGCTGTTTACGTCCTCCAAAGTAATTTGTTGTTCGTCACATGTTCAAGGAGTTCAAGGTAATTACAAAGTTCTTAAAAACATATTCCCTAACACCCAGCGTTACTTTAAAAATCTACCAAAAATATATTCTGCCGGGGTAAAGAAATAGAAAGAGAGCTCATTGTTTAGAAGCTAAAACAAAACACGACAAATATGATTTGAAAGCTTTTTTCACATTTGGAAATGTTTATTGTTTTTGTGAATCGCCGGTCAGAGTCAAGAGATAAGAACAAAAACAACTGATTATCTGACTTTTGGAGCATTTAGTACTTTTCATTGGACCCCACTCTTAGAGGTTTTCTAATTGTCACCGGTAAAGAAACAAAGTGACACCAACACATTTACAACACACACAGCTGGATAAAAAATTCTCTGTTTATTTTGTTTTCTTTTGCAGTAAGAGAAAACCACAACACATATTGGAGAATAAAGATGAGAGGCGACAACGAAAAACAATGGAATATATTTAGACTTTTAACTCGAACCATATTCATTCTTCTATTAGCCATGTCTGAACTAAAGTCGTCTGCTGAGGGTGCTGCCTACTGCACCAAAGATGATCGCTGTGTGGAGCCATTTAAGAATTTGGCTCGCTATGACCATTATCGTATCTATAATGTGGAGCTGGCCACGGAGGAACATGTGGAATTGTTTAAAAAACTCGAGGAGCAAAGTGATAGCTTGACATTTATCGGCCATGCCCGTGAGGTGGGGCAAAAGCTGTCGATACTTGTGGCTGCCCATAAGGTTGCTGATTTGGCAGATTTGCTGGAACACTATCAAGTCAAACATCGTATTTTGGTAAGTAGAGCATTTAGTTCTTTACATACATACAAAATATATAATAACATTTATTTTAGACCTACAACTTCCAAGAGAAAATCGATAAGAACTATGCTGCCGTCTTGCCTGCTGGCACGGATCTTTCCAAATTTGATTGGTATCACTACTTCCATTTGGAAACAATTTATGAGTGGTTGGAATCGTTGGCCAAGAAATATCCTAATCTCGTTACTGTTCTCGATATAGGCTCCAGTACACAAGGTGTGTCCATTAAAGGTGTTAAAATCTCCCATAATCCTGCCAACAAAGGCATTTTCATTGAATCTGGTATCCATGCCAGAGAATGGATTGCTCCGGCCGCCGCCACATATTTGATTAATCAATTGCTCACCTCCAATGAAGATTCCATCAAGAATTTGGTTAAAAACTACAATTGGTTTATATTCCCCAGCATTAATCCCGATGGCTATAAATACACTTTCGAACATGATCGCATGTGGCGCAAAAATCGCCAACTTTTTGGCACTGCCCGTGGTGTTGATCTCAATCGTAACTATCCCGATCATTGGAATTCCACCGGCAGCAGCAGCGATCCAACACGTTATGATTTCGCTGGCCCATCTGCTGGCTCGGAAATTGAAACTCAGCGAATTATAAAATTCATTGAAGATAATGTCCAAAAGGAACAAATAAAAGCTTACTTGGCTTTGCATTCCTATTCGCAGATGATTATGTTCCCCTATGGTTATACCAAGGATCGTGTGGAGAATTATGATGATCTAAAGGAATTGGGACAACAGGCCACCGATGCAATTAAATCATTGACTGGACGTGATTATGTGAGTGGCAGTATCATTGAAACAATTTATCCCTCCAGTGGTGGTAGCATGGATTGGGCTTATGCTGAGCATAAAATACCCATTGCCTATACCTTTGAACTGCGTGGACCACCCGATAGCCAAGATATGTTTATACTGCCGGCTGAAGAGATTTTGCCAACATCTCAAGAAGCCTTTGCTGCAATTAAAACCATTATTGAGGGAGCCACTGCCAAGGGTTATTTTAAATAAAGTATGCCATTTGAAATCGTATATTTTTTTGATTTTTTTTTTACTGATATCTTAGTTGTGTGTAATCTCATTATTTTTTATAAACATATACATATATTGTTATTATATTCTTCACAAACATTGTAAAAACGAATAAAAGATAACTGCAAAGATATATAATTGTTATGCAATTTTATAGTTCCAACAAAGGTAGACAACAACACAGTCAAAACAAATTTTGCTTTTCTTTCTAATAACATTTAAATGCTGTTTGTTGTCATCTGCTTTTCAAAGCGGTTGTAATGTGATTCCTTGGCGAAAGTCTTGGATCAAATATGGCATTTATTTGTACATGGCAACCTAAAATAAACAAGAAAAATTAGAAAAGTTCCAAGGAAATGATTGATTATTGAAATGTCATACCATTTTCCATTAAAAACAACATTCGATCATAGAGTATAACACTTTCTATCAGAGGGGCAAAGAACAAACGCAACGTATAAAATATCACAATATTTTTCCAGTGAAAAAGATCGTTTTGAGTGGTGCAAGTATTCAGGTCGCACAGTGGTATGGTGGAACAAGGTAGACCCTTAACAGCTTTATAAAAGTAACTTGAAAGAGAAGAAGAAATTACATTAAAATATCAATGGGGAGGAGATATTCTTAAGGTATTCTATGGATATATAAAGGTAGATGAACTTCAAAAGGTCTAACATGAATAAATCTTTTAATGGTCTTGGAAGACCTTCAAAAAATATCTTTTGAAATTCAAAAGGTATTTTGTTCATGATACAATTCAATAGTTTCTATAGATGAATAATCATGTAAATTTGCATACTAATATCAATAATAAATCAATAGATTTATCCTTACTCTGAAAAACTCATGTCAGGTAAATGTTTGACACTGCTCAGCCGGGTGTGTCTTAATTCCGGATAATGTTTGACAATAATTCTCTCGGTTGCCGCTCTAAATGAATGGACTTTCAGGTACTCATAATCCTTTAAAGACAATCTTTCATGATACAATTCAATGGCATGGCAGGATATCTCTCTGGCCTCATAACTTAACGTGGATCTTGTGTTATTACTTCGCAAATAATTACTCAATGGGTAACCACAATCTGCCGCCCGACATTCCGCAGTTGACAACTTCATATAACAACAGCCAACAAAATTTAAAAATTTCGCCTGTTTACATTTTAAAAACATACGCATTAGTATTGCACCCAAATCCCCGCAAGGATGTAAGCCTATGATGCCAAAAGTATAATCTTTATTTTCTATTCGCATACTCCTTTCAATTGTTTCGAGGAACTCTTCAGGGTTCATATCTGCGGTTAGGCATAGATCGACATGTTCAGGTTTTTGACTTGGTATATCAGGAACATATTTCTTCTTTAATTTTTCCATATTTTCATCCATTTCATAGGCTTGTTTATTTAATTTGCTTTGCATTTCCAGGCAGCATACTTTTATGTTATATGCATAGCCTAGATTTCTTGCCAAATGTCCCAAACCGGCTCCGAAATCAACCACAAAGTCCACGGGATTTTCTTGGCATATTTGTTTGCAGAGCGAGGCCATCGATTCCAGTTCATGACGTTTCTTGGGTTTTACACCCTTGTTGAAGACGTGCTTTAGCTTGGCGTGATCCAAGAGAGGACTACTTGGAAGTGATTCCTGTTAGGATGTAAATATTATTAATGGTATCAAATTTGTTGATGATTACTCCAAGGACCTTACCCTACATTTCTGTTTTCGATCTATACAAAGTCCCTTAAATGCCTCCTTTAAGGCCAGTATACTTAGTGGCCAAACTTTAGTTGTTCCAGTCTGTTGATTGCTATCAGAACTTAGAAGGTAACACAACTGTTCGGGTGGTAGTTCCTCAAAGTATAAACGCCAAGCTGGTGGTAGCTTCCCCCAGTGATCGTTAACATAGAAATCCTAAAAGAAATGATGATTACTTCAGCCGAAAAAGTGTACAGATCTGGACTAAACTTACCAAAACATAGGAGTTAATCAACCAATCATATTTTCTAATAATTTGTAGACATTTATTTAATTTAGCTTGTAATGTGGCTTGTGTTTCCATTGTTTACATTCCCTTATTTCACAAATTGGACAAAACCACAACATAATTTTGACAGGAAGCGGGCATAGACTCAGTCTGAATTTCTGTTCTACTCCCTTATTGTACCATGGAAAATATAAGCAACAGCATGCGTCTGTTTGTTGAACGAGTTGACGCCGTTATTTAAAATGACTCGGCATCACTTTTCGTAAGCAGCTGTTGTGCAATGTTTACAATTTGTTCTTTGTTTTTCTTCTTGCTGTTTGAATTGAACAAGTGTATTTACTGAATGGCTTTGCGCGTAAGGAGCTAGTTCATTTCCTTATTCATAAATTATGATAAATAGAAATAGATGATTTCGAAATTTATTTCCATGAAACCGCTGAAGCCTCCCACCCCTAAATATTTAAATACAGCGATCTTGACAGATTTTCCCATGGCTTTGTAAATAAATTCATTAAATATCCCAAAAGACACTTAACTAGTTCTAACTGCTCGTTTTAGTGAGTAATATTTTGAACTTCGTATGGAAACGAAACGAGAGAATTGTAATTGTTGTAATAGTCGTTTTATTTTCACATAAAACTGAAACAGGGATTGCTTGAGTGTTATGAAATAAAGTTTCAAGTTTTTAATGTAATCGTTCAAGATTCTTCTTTATAATCCCTCCTTGTATTATATTTTTAAGAATATAGAAATGAGAAAGATTCAAATGAGGAGATTGATTGTGTTTGAGATAAGTGACCACCAATGAATGGTCTTAATTGGAACAGTAACACAGAAGCAAAGATAGATCACAACATATTTGGGAATATTTGATAAGCATTGTGCCTTCCCTTCACCCCTGTGACACATTTCAGTTCACCCAGCTGTTATCAAGTACATAACCATTTTTGAATGTAGAATCCAGTCAAAGGTCTCTGTTGTATCGCGCTGCTACTGCAATTACTTACGCTTAACTTCTGTCCGAGAGAATATTACTGGTGTTATTAACTTGTTGCCACAAAGCTATGTCGTTCGTTTAGATTGCGACTGACCATACAACAAGTTAGACAGCTTTAGCGGGTTAACTCGCGCGTTACGAGATCAGTCATTTAAGTAAAAAACAAGATTGTTGAACAACTATTGCATTCAACGCACTGATTCTAAAGTCTCAACGAAGTGACGGAGTGTGCCCGCGAGTGTGTATGTGCCTGGGTGGATTGTGAAAAAGTTGTGAAACTGCATCCAACGAATAAAAAAAAACAACAAAAGTCATTAACTGAAACCAAAGCGTGATAATGAGTGTAAAAATTAATCCCGACTTGCAAAAAGAACGCAATACTGCCACATTTGTTCCAGAGGAGTTCACTGTTTGGTGGAAGGGTGGCCAAAAAAAATATGAACAAATTCTGGCTTTGGGTAAATATTTAAAATTGTAACTGTGATATTGACGATCTTTTTGACCTTTTACTAATCGTATCATAAGGATCCTTTGTTCAAAATATGATAATAGAAATATTCTCGTTGTTATTCAAAAACCATAATAATAGTTTGTCCCCCAATTTGTACTTGACCGAAATTTTTATGGATTTGCTTTTATTATTTTTTTTTTTTATTTGTCGATAAGTTTTGCCAAGCATTAAGCAGTATTTAAAACGCCTTTAAGCAATTGTAATTGTTTTCGTATAGAATCAAGTGTTTGCTATTAAAATATATTGCTGATTTGCAGATAATTGCAAGTGACTGGCAAATTTTTGTATTTGTATAAAATTGGCAATATAAAACGGAAAAGTCGATTTCGAATTAGGACCAGAGATAAGTGCATTTTGTAAAGTTCATTACTTGAATTAATGGATCATCAATTTCGAACGAATGTATATATATTTGAATAATTTTTGTTTTAATAATAGAGGGACAAAACAATAATCAAATAAACTTGCGTAGTAACGTATTGAACTTAGCCCTCTCCGCCTCGCTAAAGGAAATTTGACACAAATCCTCCGATATTCAAAGACTTGGATTAAAAACATAAAATAATCCCACTTTAATGTCAAATTGTAACCTGTTTCCATTCGCTTATACCGTTGACTTTTTAAAGACGCGTGTTTTAATTGAATAATTATTTTGTTATATTTTTTAATTATTCAAAAAACTGGGATCAACGGACTTTCCAGTTCCTAACACATGTCATTTGTTCGATATATGTAAATATTAAAATAGGCAGCCGATTGAAAATGAAAGTGTCTATGGAAATATGTGGCCCATTTTTTAAGCAATGGCATAAAAAAATACTTTTTAGTTTGAATTATATAAATGGTTTTACGATCTTTGATTATATCTATTTGTTTAAAAGTATTGCATTTTTAAGATAAGTCTTTCGAATTTGTCATAGATGTGTTTTTTTAAAAAATAGGAGAAAATTGATTATCCATTTAAAATAGTCCCGTAGAATCGAATCATTAAGGCTTCCTTTTAGGGCTTCCTAATATCAAACCGTGCTATACAAAAATGGCGAAAAGGTATGAAGTCCGGCCGATAGGCTTAGTGTAAAAGCCCCTATTAGATCTCCCCCCATTCTTGTTTCTGAAGCACAGATTTTTCTTCTTTGACACAAGAGCCTTTTCGTGTCTAAGTGGGAGGGTAACTTTCAGCGGTGTGAGTAGATAACATCATTCGATGGAATTCTCTTATATAAATTTACCATGCACGTTCAGACCTATTCATTCGGATGACGGTTACATCCCAGAATGGCATACTCTCCTTTTTTGTTGGAAGAAAATAAATGCCAAAGAATAACACTATCTGTGTATAGGGCCACCAATGAATGTATATTTTCGTCAACATTTAGCCACGCTTTTCTTTTCATGCCGGGATTCTTCATGCGTCAATGTACCTTTCGTCCCTCAAACTACACAAAGAAATCCAATTATAAGTACTAAGAAATTCTTTCAAGATTGTTTGTGAGATGTGCCTTTTATTTGTCCAAAGACCAGGATTTACGAAATCATTTCCCACCAAAAAAGGCTTTGTTGTTGCTATAACAGGTTCATATGTTTTGTTCGATTTCTGATAACCCGCTTCTAACTCCAGGTTCAAATATTCGTCTAATTTAAAAAGCTGAAACCAGTGACCTTTTTTATGGGGTGAGTGGGGTAGGTTTGGTGCAGCATATTGTGCGGGACTATATCGCCTGCATCATGATGGTGGACTCCGAGAATCGCATTCTTACTGGAATTGTAATGAGTATGAGTGCCACTTAGACATGCCTGACCTTCTCTCCAGATCATGCCCATATGGTGGCTTGAATGAGCCCCACAATAACACCCAAACAGGTACTTCAATGAAAACATACGGTTATGCTGAGGTACCAAAAGGACATTCGCCTCCTCATGTAGATGGTCCACTGGCGTCATAAGGTGGTACCCTGTCGCAGTTCTCAGGGCAGTATCCTGACAGTTGGATGTTCTTCCACTCTGGATGTTCTTCCACTGCGTTGAACTTATATTTGCAAGCCGCCACACTAGTCCGCAAAGCTAACCAAGAAGAAGAAACAAGACATTCGTTGGTTACGTTTGACAAGCCCACAATATAGGAAGAACACATAATCGATTCGTAGTCCTTTGGTAGAATAGTCCCACCCCCTGATAAAGTATTTAGAACGCCTTAATCTTTGGTAAATTAGGGTTAACAAAAATGATTAAACATTGCCTAAAGGATGTCAAAACCGGTCCGAATGTATGGCTGTCTAAATTGAATAAGAACAGTATGTACAGTAAATCCCTTGCTTTCAAGCTAGAATTCAATAACGATGGTATGACATATATAAATATATGGTCCAGAATTATGTGTTTTTGTTTAATTTTCGTCCCTTGAGATCATCGAAACGATTACAAAATTTATTTTTGATTATCTTGATTGTCCTCTTATCCACCTTCATACCCTATTTGTATTCTTTTCCTAAAAGTTTCATATTTGAGTATTCAACCAAGTATAGTCAGATTGTCATCATGGTATCTTCATAATTGTTGTGAGCATTCTTCCTTCCAAACCTAATTTTAAGATTGTCATTATTCCAAGTAGTTGCAATATTTCAAACCTGTATACGTGCAAATTAGCAAGCATTAACAATTATAAAATGCACATGTATATAATTTTCTTTGTTTCCAAACAATAGCAATTGGAAATTGTCGTCAAACGTTCAAAAAAACATTGGCTTTGATTAAACGATAAAACTATCAAATCCAGGAGGTATTATTATACATGTTCTAATCTTATCTCAGTAGCTGGTATGGGTTAAGTACAACCATCACCCCATGAGGGCTAAGAAACCAAATAAAAAATTGATATTTTATTTTGAAAAATGTAGTATTTTTATGGCGTGTGGCTGATCAAGCAAAAATTAACACCAATAGAGATCAAGAAATTTAGTTTAGTTTAACACGTAGGCTTTATATACTGCATACATGTTCCTGAAATATTTCTATATGCTTCCTGATAAGCTTATAAATCTTGTACTTCAAAGATAATCAAATCGATCTATACACCGTGGGTAAAGTTTAAATTTTAAGTAGGATTGTTTTTGCTTTGTGTGTGTGCTTTTGGCGGCATCCAATGCAAACACACGATGTGCAAAGTATGTAGTTTGCTTTTAATTATAGAAGAAATGGTAAAAATAATGCGAAAAATTCCATAATATATTCATTTAAATATTTTATTGTTTTTATTCTTCATAAAAATGATGATGATGAGAAAAAAAAACTTGTTCCCAAATTGCATTTGCTGGTTGGCGATAATCGTAGCGCATGAGTCAACAGTTTTTTTCCTCAACAATTTCTGTTCATTGTTGTCTGGACAAAACAAAGTTCACCAGCCACAATCCGACAAAACAATAGAATAGAAATGTATATACATATTTAAATAACAAACTATTAACTTATAACTTTATTAGCCCTCGGTTTAGACCCTGCCTGTGTTTAGGTAGTGCTGTATGGACAGTGTGCTTAAACTTGTCTATAGTTTAATTACACCACATCTGTTTGTTGGCCTGTGTGATGTTAAGTTCTAAAGCCCGATTAATGTTGGAATGTTTTGTTTTTGTTTTACGACTCGCAGTTAATGCAAAGGTCAGTCGACAATGACTTAAAACTTAACTTAAAATGTATCTCATGTAAATGTTCGTTATGTGGGCCATAAAAATTTGTAAAGAAACATAGATGGTGGGGTGGGGGAGCTTCAACTAAAAATGTATCTTTTTTAATGATTGTGGGTTGTTGCTTTTATCTTTTCACTATCGATTCCGCGGTGTTTCCAAATGCTCCCTCTGATGGTCCTTTGAATGTAGGTTGCAAAGGAAGGAATTAATTGTATCATGTCTCTGAAGATCGTTTATAAACTACTAAAAATCCACTTTATTGGGTTGAAAATATTCAAAAAAAGCACACAAATCCAAAATATTTAAAATATTGAATATTTAATAATAATAATATTGAATATTAAAAACTCGCTTTAAATGTTTTCTGAAAAATCGACGTTTATAAAATATTGAAAAAAATAAAAGTTATATAGGTTGCAAGTATTTAAAAAATCATATTTCTAAAAATCCACTTTTTAAATATTTATAAAAATATTAAAAAAAAAAAACAAACAAACAAGTAAAAAAGCTGTAAGTTCCAGGCCTATTTGGAAAACATTTGGCAATTTCCAAAAAAAAAAAATCCGTTAAAAAATTCGGTTAAAATTTTAAAAACAACGAATGTAGCTTTTATATTAGGTTCTATGCCACGACGTGGACCTGCATAGGCAACTTTTGTCATAAGCCATTACAATATGCAAAAGGGAAACTTGAAAAAAATAAAATAAGGAATATCGGCAGGTACTGTTATATGAGGGCTATACGCGGACGTGGACTTGCACAGACAAATTTCTGTCATAGGCTGAAGCATCCATTACGAACTTCAAATACCGAATTTGAAACAATTCCGGTGAATAATGTCGCTTAAATTATCAAAATACTGAATATCTGGAGGTACGGTTATATGCGGGCTATACGAAGATGTAGACTTGCACAGACAATTTCCTGTCATAGGCTGAAGGATCCATTATGAACTTCAAATGTTGTTACAAACGGAATGACAAACTTAATATAACCTCTGTACTATGGTGGAGGGTGAAAAAAAAAACTTTCTTTCTTTATTCTCTTTATTTCTCACAGTTCTTCATTTCCTACAGTAATTTTTCATCGCGACCGAAGCATACCATACGGAAGGTTGTACCGTGAGGGGAGTTTTGTCGCCTTTGGCGCCTAATTTTGTTCGTGACCACCTACTTGTCACACTTTGCCCTACCCTTTTGTTTCTTTCCATTTGACACCTTTGCGGTAGGTGGGGATGGCAAAGTCACAATATTTCAAAGCAGACTACGTCTTTCTCGTATTTTTTTCAGGATCTGCGGTTCTGATGACTTCGTCGAAGCCTTGCCTTCCTCCGAATTGGTTTCCGTCTCCTTCGACGCCACCTTTTCCGGTAAGCATATGCTTTCCACAGTCGTCTCCTTTTTAGGAGCCTCGACAGGTTTCACTGCTGCTAGTCCTAAGATCTTTTGATTTTTTCTTAAAAAGTCTTTTTAAAAAATATTCCTAAAGTTCCTTTGAATATTCCTCTTAAAAGTCTTCGTTTATGGGTCGGAAATTCCTTTAAAAATCTACTTTTATACTTTGGAAGATCTTTTGCAAATGTTCCTCATGACATCCTCGTTTTTAAGTCGAAAGACCCCTTTGAAAATACTTATCAAATATTTTTGAAAAAAGCCATGTTTATGTGTCTGAATATCCTTTGAAAAATTTTAACAGCTGTCGGACGAGTGGCTTTGAATGACAGCAGTCTGAAGTTGGTTGCAGTTTTTTCATCTCACCCTGTAGTTGATAAAAACAATTCACGATCCTTCAAAACATTATTTTCAAATCAATAATGATCATTCTAAATGTTCTTTAAAAAATATTTTCAAAAATCTAAGAAAATTGCAATGACATGCAGAATTTTTGAAATCCTATTTTGTTTCTTTTTACAGAGGAAATGTTCCTCAACGATCCCGAACTGAAGGATGATCTGCCAATTTCTTATATGTCACACAAGGAACTTTACGAGCATGCCATACGTAAATCGGTAAGAATTGCCGAAAAGATACGTGAGATTCGTAACAATGGTGAAGACAATGTCGAGACCTATAAGTGAGTAAATAATAATAATTTAGATCTCATACTTATTTTCAATTGCTTTCTTTTCTCCAGTGCCCTCTTGGGCGGTTCTCTGGGCACCGCTTTGCTCAAGGAGGGCAATCCCATGGCATTGCATTTTGTTATGTTTGTACCGACCATTATGGGCCAGGGCACAATGGATCAACAGGTTGAATGGTTGTCAAAGGCATGGGACTGTTCCATCATTGGTACATATGCTCAAACCGAATTGGGACATGGTACTTTTTTGCGTGGCCTAGAGACCCGGGCGGACTATGATGAAAAGACACAAGAATTTGTTTTGAACTCACCCACGATTACATCATACAAATGGTGGCCTGGAGGATGTAAGTTATAGCACAATTTCTTCCCTGATTTTATATTTTTTTATATCTATAATTCCTTTCTTTAGTGGGTCAAACCGCCAATTATGCCGTTGTTGTTGCTCAACTCTTTACCAAAGGCGAATTCCGTGGCCTGGCTCCCTTCATTGTCCAGGTGCGTGACGAGGAAACCCACATGCCTTTGCCGGGCATTGATATTGGTGAAATTGGCTCGAAATTGAGTATGAAATCTGTTAACCAAGGTTATTTGGGGTTCAAAAATGTGCGCATCCCCCTCAATCACATGTTGATGAAGAATCAACAAGTGCTGCCGGATGGTACATATGTACCACCCAAAAATTCCGTCTTAACCTATGGCACCATGATGTTCGTGCGTGTTGCCTTGGTCCGTGATGCTGCCATGGCATTGGCAAAAGCCTCAACAATTGCCTGTCGTTATTCGGCCGTACGTCGCCAAAGTCCCATTGATCCCAAAGAACCGGAACCACAAATTATGGATCACACGACACAACAGCTTAAAGTATTTCCCATCATAGCCAAGGCCATTGTGTTCAAAGCGAACGGTGAAAATATATGGAATATGTACAACACAATTACAGCTGAGGTGGAGAAGGGGGCATTGGATCGTTTGCCCGAAATGCATGCGTTATCTTGTTGTCTAAAGGCTATTGTGAGTGCAGATGCTGCTGCTGGTGTAGAGACATGTCGTCTGTCTTGTGGTGGTCATGGTTTCATGGATAGTTCTAATTTCCCCACCTTATATGGTATGGCCACGGCTGTGTGTACTTATGAAGGTGAAAATACGGTAATGTTATTGCAAACTGCCCGCTATTTGGTGAAGGTCTATGGCCAGGCATTGAACGGTGTTAAATTGGTACCGACCGTTGCGTACATCAATGAAGCTGTCAAAACAAAGGAGTTCCGTAATTTTGATGGTTCGATGGAATCGATTGTGCGAGCCTTCCAGTTCGTTGCTGCCAAGTGAGTTCTGAAGAAAAGGGGACGTAATCAAAAATCATTAATTATTAATACAAACATTTTCTCTTCTGTTTACAGCAAAGTTCGCATTGCCTATGAACGCATGGAACAGCGTCGTAAACAAGGCTATGGCCCTGAAGTAAGCGCCAATATGTGTGGCATTGAATTAACCCAAGCTGCTGATGTAAGTAGACTTATTTTTGAAAAAAAAAAAAAAAAAACACAATTAATACTCTTATAAACCTTTGAAAAATATTCTTAAAAAAAGAAGATTATAGCACCTTAAATATTGTTAAAAATTAGTTCGTCTACCATTGACAACCATTGGCTCCACGAATATAGTTCTGATAGTCCCTGTAAAACACTCTAAAAAAAGCACAATGGTATTTTACAAAATAAATAAAAATCCAAATTATTAGATCTAATAGCCATTGAGAAAATATTATTTTCATAAAAAAAAAAACACGACAATAGCTAGAATTGTCCTTGAGGATATATTCCTAAAAACACTTCTTGAGACAATATTCTTTAAAAAAAAATCAAGGCACTAAATATCATATTATTTTAAAGAAATCTCCAATATACTAGGTGAGATAAAAAACTGCAACAAAGTCAAACGCCATAATTTTTCCTTTTTTTTTTGAATGAATGAAAACAAAAATGTCGGAAATAGCATCAAATTTTAGAATAAGTTTAGATATGTTCGAATTGGTCACCTTTGGCACGAATAATGACCTTCAAATGGCCAATGAAACCGTCACACGCTACCCTAATGTTGCTCTGCGGTATTTTTGCCCATTCCCTGGGAAGCGCTTGCTTGAGGTGATCGACACTTTGGAATTTTTTAGTGCTAACCTTGCTTTCCAAAATACTCCACACACAATAGTCCAACAGAATGGTATCCGGTGATTTTGGTGGCCATTGTGCGCTGGAAATGAAGCGAGGAACCTCATTTTGTAACCATTCTTGGGAGGCGCGTGCTGAGTCCTCTTGGAATGTCCAAGGTCTGCGGCTAAAATGTCTGCGTGCCCATGGCTTTAATACACCCTCCAGAATGTTTTCGCGATAATATTCGTTTGAGTTCTGGAGGCCAACCGAAGGTGCACATTTTCAGCTGACCTCTTTGGCAAGTAAACACGATCGTTTTGTTTGTTACAAACTGCTGGACAACGAATGTTTTCTCATCGGAGAAAACCAAATTCAGCAGTTCACCAATTTCGGCCAAGCGAAGCAACTCTTTAGCTCTTTTGAGTCCATTTTCTTTCCGTTGCGGTGTATGTTCTTGCACTTTTTGGAATTTCAATGGCTTTACCTCGAGTTTATTTTTTAATATTTGCCGAATGGAATATTGCGATATGTTCATCTCACGAGCCATTTTTCGGCCACTGCGACGCGGGTTTTGATCAAGTCGCTTTCTTACTTTTCGAACGATTTCTGCAGATGTTGCTATTTTTTCCATCAACTTCCTTGACTTCGATCAACGCTACCAGTATTACGGTAACGAGCGATGGTACAAGACATTAAAGATTTATTTACATTTAAATGCTGGAGTGCTCTAACGATTGCCACTTGTGGTTTTCCAGCCAAATATAAGGAAATCACACTATCACGCTTGAATTCCATCACGAATAACTTTTTTCCTGGAAAATTCTCCCGAAAATGCATTTGTACGCTTGTAAACAATGTAATGAGCTGTCACTGGAATAATGTTAACAGATGTCGGACGAATGACTTAGAAGTGACAGCAGTCTGAACTTGGTTGCAATTTTTTCATCTCAACCTGTCTTTTTTTTTGACTGTATCGAAAAAATATATCTTCAATATATTTTTGAGAAATTAAAATTAAATTTGAAATATTTAAAAATTCGAAAAAAATGATCATAATTTTTTTTATTATATCAAAAAAAATTATGTATTTCTCTTTATGTATTGCAGCTCCATGGTCGTGCCTTCTTGGCCTCATCTGCCCTCTATGAATTAACCAAACTATCTACACAAGTTTCCAAAGCCTTGGCCGAGGTATTAATGGTGATTTTGGAATTGTATCTCGTTGATGCTTGCCTGAATCGTCTGGGCGATTTCTTGAGAGTAAGTAGAGCAAATTATTTATGAAAAATTATATATATTTTTATTTCTTTTATCTCTCCTTCAGTTCATTGATCTTACGGACAGTGATGTCAGCAATTTGGAATTACGTTTACAAAACTGTCTTAAACGCCTGCGTCCCAATGCTGTGGCCATGGTAGATGGCTTCGGTATCCACGATCGTATTTTGGATTCGGCATTGGGTGTTTACGATGGCAATGTGTATGAGAGAATGTTCGAAGAAGCCAAAAAGAGTCCATTGAATAAGGAACCTGTAAATCAATCATTCCACAAGTACTTGAAACCATTTATGAAGGCTAATTTGTAAATGTTTTTTTTTTTTTTTTTGGTTTCTTTCTAAAAAGTACCAAAACGTGTAATTTTTGTACATAGTATTATGTATGTATGTATTCTTGTAGTTAGTGTTTTTATAATATTCATTGTAAATTAGTGTAAATATTTGTTGAACATTGTTATAAAATGGTTGTTATTTTTTTATACACCAAATACATTTTTTTAACCTTGATAATTTACGCTTTCGTGTGGAATTTTTAATGACCAAAGAAGATGACATTGGAAATTGAAATCTAGCAAAGTCCCATGCATCAACCAGTCTGTGAGGCGTTTCGCCTTTGGTTAAGCGGCTCATCAGGCATATTATATGCTATTTTAGTGACTAGACAAAGATAAATTTGAAGGTCAAAGTTTTGAATAATTTCAACTCTTATAAATAATAATTACAACTCTTATAAATTGTGATATAAGAATCAGATTGTCTTAAAATTTCACACATCCCAATATTTTTATAAACTCAAGATCTGGTGTTAAGATGCAGTATATCGGTCCACTCCTTCTGGCACCTCCCCCACAAAAGGTCGAAATTTTGAATATACATTCCATTTAGACTTGGCACACCTGAATATTTTCCTTAGCACAGGAACTGTTATAAAAACAATAGAGATCGGACCATTCCTTGTGGTACCTCCCCCACAAAGGGTCAAAGTTTTGAATAATCAAAGCGTTTATAAAATCCAAAATAATCATCAGATTCTCTTTATATTTCACACATTCCATTATTTCTACTAACAAAAGATCTGTTGTGAAGATGTGGTATACCTGTCCCCTCCTTCTGGTACCTCCCCCACAAGGGGTCAAAATTATGAATATCCATGGAGCTCATAAAACGCGAAATTAACATCCAATTCCATTCAGACGTGGCACATCTCAATATTTCTATCAACACAAGATCTGTTATAAAGATGGAAGAGATCGGACCATTTCTTCTGGTACATCCCCTACATAGGGTTCAAGATTTTGAGAAACCAAACGCTCAAAGTAAGCCAATTAAGCATTCAACTCTCTTCAAATTTCTCACATACAAAGATTTTTGCTTACACCAGATCTGTTGTGAGGATGATACATAGCTGCGAACGCCTTCTGGTACCTCACCCACAAATGGTCACAATTGTCAATATTTTTTTTCTGTCAATTTGCTATTTTAATATAGCAAATTTTTCTCATCCACAAACTTGTTATGAATATGGATTTTATGATGAAGTTACCAATATAACCCCAAACCTGACACGTCGCAATATTTATTTAGGTCCGATATGAAATTGACAATATTGACCCATTCCTTCAGAACCCACTCCATAGAGGGTCAAGAATTTGAATAATCATGACAGAAGTCAAAATATATTTTAATAATCGAACATTGGCTGAAGGTATACGTCTGCCGGCAGAACCGACTGATACTTTTAAACTTGTTTTTTTTTTCTAATTTCCAACTTTTTTCCAAATGGTGGAGGGTGTTCGGCTTTTTTACTTGTTATTCTTGTCTCCTTGCTTTGAAAGAAAACCCCACCAAAAATTTCTTAGCTTAAATGCGTTTATTTTCAATATTGGATTTTCTTTTCTTCATAATTGTATAATAGGATCAGATAGAAATATAAATTTTCAAAATTAACATAAAAGAATTGTAATCAGTTTATACATAATTTATTTACACATTTGGAGATCGTTAGTTTAGTTTGTAAAAAAAAGAAATCATTTAAAATCAACGGAATGTCATCATAGTCTTGTTTTTGGCAATAAATACAGGAAGTGGTGGATCTCAAAACACTTCCATCGTATCAATTAGTTGATTCTAAGCCGAGCCTATTCGTTTTTACTATTCGCTGGTATAAATTCATTTTTTCTTCTGCCATCAGATTAGGATTTCGAGAAACAGCAATAGATTCCAAAAAGGTAAAAGTTTAAATTAAAAAAAAAAAATAATCGCTAGCCTTCAATGTTTGGTTCTTCTTCTCTTTTTGTAAAGGACTATATAATTCTATACATCATCATATGGAATTTGTTTGTTCGTTTCGTTCCCTTTTTAATTCTAAGCAAATTGTGCACTGCTAAGGCCATTCGTTTGTGTCTCAGATTCATCTTCATCGCTGTCGTTTTGATCGAGTTTCTCAAACCCACTGCGTTTGTTGCGTTCCAAGAGCAGACCACCCAATTTAAAGCCATCCGGTTTGGCGGGAAAGTCCCATGCATGGCGACGATTATTGTTACCAAATGGCATGCAACCTGGAAAGATGCAAATAAGAAAGGTATTTTTGTGGGTTAAATATTTTTGAAATAACTGAAAGGTATTTTTTTGGGTTGATAAATATTTTAGCTATTTTTGTAATACAAATAGAACTATATTTCCACGACAGAAGGTAGATTGCTTTCCAAGGATATGTTTTAAGAGCTAGATAGATAGATAAGAGCTAGATTGTATATTTTTGAGATTACAAATGACATTATAAAAAATGTTTGGAACTTTTTTAAATATCTCTCGAACCTTTCAAATCCACTGTGTTTTTTACAATCCAACGGCTGACTTGTTAGACCCTCAGCCACATGGCTACATTTGAAATGTCCAAAATGTGCCTCATCAAAATAACGGTTTTAGAACCCAGGTCTTTTTGGATTGTCAATTTTCACCGAAAAAATGTACCCCATAGAACTAGAAAGGATCAAGATTTTTAATAACCCTAACCTTAATAGAAAGCAAATCGAGCACCCGGTTCTTTTCGAACTTGGCACATCGTAAAAATCAAATTTAGCGTTTGCCATATTGATCTACTCCTTGTGGTACTTCTTCCACCAACGGATCAACATTTTAAATAATCAAAACGCTCATAACTTGCTTAATATACCTTCGATTCGTTTCAAACCCGACACAAGATCTGGTGTAAAGTTGGGATTTATTGGTTCACTCCTTATGGTAACTTCAATTTTGTCCCCTTGAAAAAATGTTTATTAACAAAAACGCTCATAAAACGTGAAATATGCACCCGACATTCTTTGACGCTAGATATGATGTGAAGATGATATATACACAGGATGGGATAAAAAAACTGCCACAAAGTCAAACGCCATAATTTTTACATTTTTTTTTTTGATTTTGTTAAATGAAAGCAAAAAAATGTCGGTAATAGCATCAAATTTTAGATTAAGTGTAGATTTGTTCGAATTGGTCACCTTTGGCACAAATTATGGCCTTCACACGGCCAATGAAACCGTCACACGCTGCACGAATGTTGCTCTGCGGTATTGTGGCTCATTCCCGGCTTAGCGCTTGTTTGAGGTGATCGACACTTTGGTATTTTTTAGTGTCAACCCTGCTTTCCAAAATACTCCAGACACAATAGTCCAACGGATTGGTATCCGGAGATTTTGGTGGACATTGTGCGCTGGAAATGAAGCAAGAAATCTCATTTTGTAACCATTCTTGGGTTGCGCATGCTGAGTGAGTCTGCGGCCAAAATGTTTGCGTGCCCAATGCTTTAATACACCCTTCAGAATATTTTCGCGATAATATCCGGCATTTATTCTGATGCCACGTTCAATCAATACAAGCGGAGAGCGACCATCGGCTGATATGGCGGCCCAAACCATCGCCATGGCCGCCACTTGAATTCTGGTGGCCAATCGAAGGTGCACATTTTCAGCTGACCTCTTTGGCAAGTAAACACGATCATTTTGTTTGTTTACAAACTGTTGGACAAATGTTTTCTTATCGGAGAAAACCAAATTCGGCAGTTCACCACTTTCGGCCAAGCGAAGCAACTCTTTAGCTCTCTTGAGTCTATTTTCTTTCTGTTGCAGTGTAAGTTCTTGCACTTTTGGAGTTTCAATGGCTTTACCCCGAGCTCATTTTTCAATATTTGCCGAATGGAATATTGCGATATGTTGAGCTCAGGAGCCATTTTTCGGCCCTGCGACGCGGGTTTCGATCAAGACGCTTCTTTACTTTTCGAACCATTTCTGCTGATGTTGTTTTTTTCTTCCGTCCACTTCCTTGACGTCGGGCTACGCTACCAGTACCACGGTAACGAGCGATGGTACGAGACACAAAATATTTATTCACATTTAAATGCTGGAGAGCTCTACCCATAGCCACTTGCCAAACCTAAAGAAATTACACTATCACGCTTGAATTCCATCACGAATAACTTTTTTTCCTGGAAAATTCTCACCAAAATGCTTTTGTACGCTCGTAAACAATATAATGAGCTGTCACTGGAATAATTTTAACAACTGTCGGATGAGTGGCTTAGAAATGACAGCAATCTGAAGTTGGTTGCAGTTTTTTCATCTCACCCTGTAGACTCACTCTTTATGGCACCTTCCCCACCAAGGGATCAAAATTTCAAATTCTTTAAATTTTACACATACCAATATTTTTACTAACACAAGATCTGGCGTGTACCTCCCCCATGAAGGGTCAAAATTTTGAATATTTATGTCTCATAACTTCAAAAAAAAAAAGTCAGCGATTCTTTTCAAATTTGGTATATTTAAAAATGTTTCTCTCTACCAGAGATCTGATGTCACTCCTTCTCATACCTTCCCCACAAAAGTTTAAATATTTACCCGCATAAAATTGGAAATAACATTTTGATCTTGAAATTTTGCATATTCCAAAATTGTTATCAGTATTAGATGAAGTGAAATAAAGTTCAAAGGAAAAATGTTTCGATACTTTGTTCTTCAGTTAATTTTGTAATTTTGAAATTAATTGTTAATACGATTTGATCATTGCTAAAGTTGAATGTGCAAAAGTTTCATTTGCATGCTCCGATTAGTAAGCCTAACAAGTTCCAAATAATGGCGATGGATGATCCAGGCATTTGAAAATTTCAGGGACACAACAAAAGACAAAACACTGATGAAATAAAGACAAACAAAAACACACACAATGTTGGAGGGAAATAAAACATTTATTGTTAAAACAAAAAATATTGTTGTATACAAAATGAAGAATTGAGGTGAAAAATAAAATAAATTGTTTAATATAATTACAAAAAAAGTATGTAAATATAATTTAAACTATAAATACAAATGTATATAAATTATAAAAAAAAAAACAGATCAGAGACTATGGAAGTAGCATACAGTGGACCATACAGTAGTATGTGATAGCAATTCTTTTAGTCTTTTTTTGAAAAAAAAAAAATTACTTCACAATACTCCAATGGGACAAAATAAAACGGAATGACTATGGAAATTAGAACAATTACTACTGTGATAGGAAAAAAATAGATTGATGTTACCACTCAATACGTAATGGACAACAGAAGACATTCGAGCCAGTACATACAAATATATAAAGCTTTTAAATACAAAATTAGTTGGACATACAAAAAAAAAATTAAATATGAATAGATCTTTCATGTCTAAGTAGCAGCCTTATTAAATAAACAAAATCACAAAAGTTTTAAATATTAAATTCAATGCAATACAATACAAAAAAAAAAAAAATGGTTAGCAATGTGCTGTATTGTGTTTTAAGGTATATCTTCTGAAATATTTTGTGCTGAGGCTACCAATTTGCGATAGACCAATTCACTGGGTTGACCGACACTTAAACCCCCAGCATTACCTCTTCGACGCCTTCGGGCTATCAGTAAAGCCATGGCGAATGTGAGAAAGGCAAAGAGAAGCATAAGTGTTGCCACCAATATGGCTGTGGCCCCTGGCTTATGATGTTCCGCAGCCACATTGTCTGTCATTACACCAATACGACCATCAGCTGTCAGACCGGCTGCAACTGTTAAATTTACACCTTGAGTTTTATCATCAACCTCTATATTGGCTTTGGGTTTAGCTGCTGATAGCGATACGGTTTTAACCAATGATTTATGCAGGAATTTGTGTATTTTGGTGGGATTCAATTCGGCAACATATATTTCATTGCCATCCATTGTGACAGCAACATCATGAGGATTGGAAAATGTCAAGTCGTTGGGACCAAATTTGCCAATGACTTTGGTGGTCTTGAAATCCATAATGTAGCCACGTACTTCGTTATATTGTTCGGTTTTAACGCCAATTTCAGCGGTGGGACCATTTACCACAACAAATTGGCCACCTGTAATGAAATAAATTTTAAATATTTTAATTTATTTATTTATAGAGAAACATTTGCAAGAAAAAAGTAAGTTAACTTCACAAAAACTCAGTTTTTTCATAAAATTACAGTGTGAGATGAAAAAACTGCAAACAACTTCAAACTGCTGTCATTTCCAAGCCACTCGCCCGATAGCTGTTACAATTATTCCAGTGACAGCTCATTATATTGTTTACAAGCGTACAGAAGCACTTTGGTAAGATTTTTTCAGAAAAAAAGTTATTCGCGATGGAATTCAAGCGTGATAGTGCGATTTCTTTATATTTGGCTGGAAAACCACGAGTGGATATCGCTAGAGCACTCCAGCATTAAAATGTGAATAAAACTTTTGTGTCACATACCATCGCCCGTTGCCGTTATGCTGATAGCGTAGCCCGGCGTCAAGGAAGTGAAGGGAAGAAATCAGCAAATTCAGCAGAAATGTAAAAAGAAAAGTAAAGAGGCGACTTGATCGAAACCCGCGTCGCAGCGGCCAAAAAATGGCTCGTGAGCTGAACATATTGCAATATTCCATTTGGTAAATACTGAAAAATGAGCTCGGGGTAAAACTATTGAAATTCCAAAAAGTACAATAACTTACACTGTAACAGAAAGAAAAAAGCCTCAAAAGAGCTATAGAGTCGTTTCGCTTGGCCGAAAATGGAGAAGTTCTCAAAGAGGTCAGCTGAAAATGTACACTTTCGATTGGCCACCAGAACTCAAGCACCGGCCATGGTGATGGTGTGGGCCGCCATAACAGCCGATGGTCGCTCTTTGCTCATATTAATCGACCGTGGCATCAGAATAAATGACGAATTATAGCGAAAATATTCTGGAGGGTGTATTAAAGCCTTGGGCACGCAAACATTTTGGCCGCAGACCTTGGACATTCCGACAGGATTCAGCGCCATCGCACTCAGTACGCGCCACCCAAGAATTGTCACAAAATGAGGTTCCTCGCTTTATTTTCGGCGCACAATGGCCACTAAAATCTCTGGATACCAATCTGGAGTATTTTGGAAAGCAGGGTTGACACTAAAAAATACCAAAGTCTCGATCACCTCAAGCAAGCGCTTCGCCGGGAATGAGCCAAAATACCGCAGAGCAACATTCGGGTAACGTGTTACTGTTTCATTGGCGGTTTGAAGGCCATAATTCGTGCCAAAGGTGACCAATTCGAATAAATCTAAACTTATTCTAAAATTCAATGTCGGAAATATTTTTTTCATTCAATAAAATTAAAAAAAAAAAAGTAAGTTATTGCGCTTTTACTTTGTTGCAGTTTTTTCATCTCACACTGTATATGTGCTTGAACACCGCATTATATTTGTCTAAATTCAATTCCATTACTCACCTTGAGCTGGCGTATAATCCATACTAAACAAACGATCACCAATCAATTGTGAATGATACTGCGAATGGAAAGTGCCGTTTGACCAGAAGAAACATTGAATACGACCATTTTCACGATCTGCCGTACACACCAGTTCCTGTTCCGGTACCAATGTCAATGCATGCGGTATGGCGAAGAAATTTTGTGGGGCCACATCGAATGATGTTCCCGAAAAAGTATTCTGACCCCAAGACAGAATGCGTTGTCCATCTTTGGAATATTTCAAAATTCGTGCATTACAATAACCATCGGCCACAAAGAAATCACCATTTTCCAAGACAGCAACAGAGGTTGGCTTACAAAAGGTGGATTTATTCGAACCCGGTGTAAATGCCGTGCCCAATTTCATGAGTGGTTTATCATCGGAGCCACGTGGTCCAAATTTAAACACCTGATGCAGAGCGACATCGGTTATCCACACATTATCCTCGTGGTCGATGGTAAGACCATGTGGCATATAGAATCTGAAAATGAAGATGGGGAGAATTTTTTTAGTTAGTAGAATGTACGTTACAGAAAACGCTATAGAGTTGAGTGTATACAACATACTCTTAGTACATTGATCAAAAAGCTTACATCAAAACCCAATGATTTTTTCAAATAATCAATTTGTATCCAATAATTGTCCTTCGCGTTCACTTTCGTAGAGAAACGGGAAATACATTTTTAATTGCGCTTGCAATACTTCGAAGTATCCTTCGAAGAGCTCATAATTTACACAAACATATATTCATGATCAATTTAATTGTTTCTATGACGAGCTAGGCATGTCTGTGTCCCTGTCTATATGTTGAAATTGCGATAGAGGACGCTCTAATAAAAATAAAACTTTGAAAATTTATCCAGATATTGATATTTTTTAAGAAGTTGTGGTATCGATAATGGAATAGATTTGTCCAAGTTTGGGTATAGCCCACCTATATGAGCATTTCTCTCCTTTACATAGGGGAGGCAAAGGCCGTTTCCTTTTTGAAAAAAGGTGAAGTTCTGGTCTCATAGTAGACCATATCAAAAAGACCCAAGACCATCTTCTTTCATAGAAGACCAAAAGGATTTCTCATGGAAGTCCACTTTTTTAGCCCCCAATAAAGCCACCTTCTGATTTTCGGTATTTTGAAGACTTCAGAAATAATCAACCAAATACCAACTTTATATTCGCATTCTCAATATCTAAAAAAAAAACAATATCTATAATATAAAGGTTTTGATCCTAATTTCAAATTAAATTAAGTGGTATTGTGGCATTCAATAAAAGGGTTGATAAAGTTCAAAGAGCAGCATCGTTACTAATTACGACTGCGTTTAAGAGTATGCCCCAATCTGCACTCCATACCCTACTCAACTTAAAATTTTAAGTCTCTTTGTAGAGGAACAAGCTGCAAGATGTGCCTTGAGTCCTCAATGAACTAGGTCAATGGCAGAGTCAGTCCTTTGGGCACTCTGTCATACTTAAGTATGTGGAGAACATAGGATTTCGGGCCATAACCAGTGATTACATATCACCTAGGCAAAGTTTCGAATCACTGGACGACTGCAGCGTTTTTAGGCAGAAATCTTTGCTCTTAGGAAAGCCCGGTGACTATATACGTCCATAGTCAGGCGGCCTTGAAGGCTCTTATTTCTTTTACAATCAAGTCCATGGCAGTTTTGGAATGCAGAAATGCTCTGGTAAGGTTTAAATCGTTAGCCATTGTAACATATTTGACGATACCGAATACTGTAGTCTCTGTCAGGACGAGGAGGAATCCGAGACGGTAGAGCACTTACTCTGCCAAGGTCCAACTGTCTTTGGAGTCGGACAGAGGCTACTGCAAATTCTGCCCGGTTTGTCCTCCTTCTCTCAATGTGAACCAGCAGCTATGATTCAGTTAGCCAGAAGACTGAAATGACTAAGGACAACACGCCTATTACGGCGAAGCTGAACTATCATAGTTTTCTTATCCCTATCTTCTAACTCTATCCTTCTTCTCCATTTTCTTACCTCACCTTCTTTCCATTTATCCCCATTTATTCTTTTTCAGAAAGGATGAACACAATGGACCAGCGGGTCGCCAAGTGGAGTTAAAACAACCATGTATCCTTTAACCTAAGTGGTATAGGACATTTCAGATTTAGGGCACTACTTGCAAAAAATAATTAATGTAGATCCACTTCTTGGTATGGCCACAAATAACGTTACCTCGTGAATTTTGGAAGTTCAGTTGTTTTGGTCCCATGCCCAAGCAAATTTGCTGTATTTTTATATTTCGACTTCTCATTGGGCATTTTAACCCCTTCCCAAAAATATTCAATGTAGGTCCACTTTTTGGTATAGTCCACATATAAGAGTACCTCCTGATTTTTGATATTTTTAATGTTCCTGCTCAATTACCAACCAAATCAGCTGTAATTTAAGATTTCGGATTCTTTGTAGGTATAACCCCTATAACACAGAACAACGAAGTTTAAGGGATTTGGCCATATTCCAAATTGTTTACATGGCCGTTTTTAGTTCTTATATTTTCCAACCAAACAAGCTGTAATTTGAGATTTCATGTTCTTTTTGGGTGGATTAAGACCTTTCAAAAATAATCAAAATAGGTATAGCCTATATATTTGGCCATATTCCAAATATTTTACATGCCCGTTTTTAGTTCTTCTGTTTTGTTCTTGTCTAATTTTAAATTCTCACTGCAAATTTCTAAGAAATTGTCCAATTCATTTATCGCTTGCGCACATACAAATCTTTCTATAATCCCTTCTCTGGCTGAAACCACGGGATATTGCCAAAGATATAAAAAACGTGAACATTGTCTATAAAAGTTGATGCGGAATATTTATGCATGATAGGGTCTAAAATTATTTTTTCGACGAGTAACAAATTTACATTATACATTAAATTAAATGGTACTTACAAATTTTTACCCCAATCGTAGGCTAAATTGCCAGTTTCTCTATCCAATGCCAAAACAGTGCTATCACGTATGGGTCCCTTGTTGCGTTGACGAAACACATTACCCAACGTAAATGTATTTTGATCCCAAATGCGATCACAACGATGAAACAATACAATATGACCGTCTTTATCAAAACTTACAGCTGTAACCGAGCCCAATTTTACATCCATTTTTGGCCATGATGATTGATAAACATATGCTACAATTTAAAAACAAACAAAAAGATTGTGAATTTCCATCGCGTTAAAAATATTATTCTAAAAATAAAATTAATGCAATGACGTATTAATAACGTTGCACAGATCTACTTACTTATGTTTAACTTATTGATTTCTTGCTGAACATTGATCTTGGGTTTATCCGGCCATAAACTGGTATCGGTTGAGGAAATGCTGGCACTGTTCAAACCGCCGACATTGCTGCTGACTCCTCCTCCACCCTGCATTATTTGTAGGAATCGTTTATCATTATTTAGCAATTGATCATCGGCTACTAGAGGAAAATAGCGCTGTAAGTTGATCTTCTATAGGGAGAGAGAGAGAGAGAGAGATAGAGATTAAATAAATATGCATTAGTTTCAAATGTGTTTACAAAAGTCTACAAACAATTAGTGTTAACGTGTAAATATTATCATATTATTGCTCTAAACCAATAATTGTTGAAAGCTTATTAAGCAAATTAATACGATTTGTTTTCAAAGTTATTTATATAACCTTTTTACTGCTGTTTTGAAGTATATAAATCTTGTTAGTGGAGATGAGAGGGCAAAAATGCGAGCATGTTGTAAAGGTTAAACGTTTCGAAGATGTTACAATCGGTTAAAATATAGATATTGTGAGGGTTAGATGAAAAAACTGCAACCAACTTCAGACAGCTGTCATTTTCAAGCCACTCATCCAAGAGCTGTTAAAATTATTTCAGTGACAGCACATAATATTATTTACAAGGGTACAAAAGCATTTTGGTTTGATTCCTTTATATTTGGCTGGAAAACCACAAGTGGCTATCGTTAGAGCACTCCAGCATTTAAATGTGAATTAATCTTTTGTGTCTCGTACCATCGCTCGTTACCGTGATACTGATAGCTTAGCCCGACGTCAAGGAAGTGGACGGAAGAAAACAGCAACATCAGCAGAAATGATTCGAAAAGTAAAGAAGCGAGTTGATCGAAACCCGCGTAGCAGTGGCCGAATAATGGCTCGTTAGCTGAACTTATCGCAATATTCTACTCGCCAAATATTGAAAAATGAGCTCGGAGTAAAGCCATTTCAAAAAGTGCAAGAATTTACATCGCAACAGAAAGAAAATAGATTCAAAAGAGCTAAAGAGTAGCTTCGCTTGGCCGAAAGTGGTGAACTGCCGAATTTGTTTTTTTTTTCGTTGGTCAGCAGTTTGTAAACAAACAAAATTATCGTGTTTACTTGCCAAAGAGGTCAGCTGAAAATGTGCACCTTCGATTGGTCACCAGAACTCAAGCGACGCCCATGGTGATGATGTGGGCAGCCATAATAGCCGATGGTCGCTTTCCGCTCGAATTAATCGACCGTGGCATCAGAATAAATGCCGAATATTATTGCGAAAATATTCTGGAGGGTGTATAAAAGCCTTAGCCACGCAAAAATATTGATCGCAGACCTTGGACATTCCAGCAGGACTCAGCACCATCGCTCTCAGCACGCGCCACCGAAGAATGGTTACAATATGAGGTTAGTTGTCTGTGTCTGAAATATTTTGGAAAGCAAGGTTGACACTAAAAATACCAAAATGTCGATCACCTCAAGCAAGCGCATCGCCGGGAATGGGCCAAAATACCGCAGAGCAACATTCGGGCAGCGTGTGACGGTTTCATTGACCGTTTGAAGGCCATAATTCGTGTCAAAGGTGACCAATTCGAACAATTCAAAACTTTTTTTTAAAATTTCATGCTGCTTCCGACATTTTTTGCTTTGATTCAATAAAATTTAAAAAATGTAAAAATGGTGGCTTTTGACTTGGTTGCAGTTTTTTTATCTCACCCTGTATGAATACACTTTGTAATTCTTCTCTTGGTTTTCTCTTTTCGAAGAACATCTTAGAACCATATAGGCAGAAGATTTAGAAGAAGATAGGCAGAAGATTTAGGACAAAGAGAATGGGAGGTTATTTGTCGGTTGGGAAGAAATATCATTACAGGATCTTTTATGGGTGCAAGAAAGAATGCTCATCAAATGTAGAAGATCTCTAGGAGACCTTATTCTTTTAAATGCGGATTTTATCTAAAGAAGGTCCTATAAAAGGTATTATGTGCTTTTTGTAAGGCCCATAATTAAATCTCATGTTTTAAATTCGGGGTTCAACGGCAGCCAACTAGAGAATGGCAATCTTAAAATAAGAAAGAATCTGAAAATTATCCCTTTCAATAACTAGATTCTCCCAAAAACAGTTTTTACGTTTACGCAGATAAGAATCGCGCAACTTTCGCAACCGCCCCTCGTGTAATTGCCTCAGTTTTCGTTTATGATATACAATATCTAAGAGATAACCAGCGGGGCCCAAACAAATGACGTTACAGAGGAGGCATAAACAAAAGATAAACAAACCGTAAACCAAGACGGACAATATAAATAAATAAATGATTTGTGTTTAAGTGTACACAAACAATCACGGGCAACCACTATGGGATGAATGGATGCAAGCAACTAGCAAACATATGTTAACATTTGGGTAAATGCAAAATTAGAATTTTCGACCGAATTGAAGTTCTATACCATATTAAATTGTTAAAAATAATAATTTGCCCCAACTCGAAGCATGACTCCAATCACTACTCCAATTCTACCAAATATTCAACTTGGAACATTCACGCACGCACTCACATACATACAAAACATATACAAGTTGTTTCACTACTTACCTCATCTGTTGCTCTGACCGTTGGTACAATTGTCAGGGTAAATAGCAGCAGCAAAGACGTTAGGGCCAAATATAGTACTGCTCCAAATAATGACCGTGATGCATGAGTTGAGCTTAACATTATTGTATCTGGCGTACGCTACGTGTTATCGCTAAGCTGGGTACGTGAGTGTGTGTGTTCCTTTCTTTATTTTTTTTCTTTAATTCTTCATGAATGTAAGATGTGGCTGGTTTTTGTTGTTGCTGATATTAAATCTTTTGTTTGGAAACACTATTTATATGGAATTTTTAGAAGGGAATGATATTTAATACAATTCACCACTGCAAAATCATTTATTGTTATTTTTGGTTTATTGCTATACACTTTTTTTTTTTTTTTTTTTTTTTTTTTTTTATGTATTATTTTGGTTGGCCCACTTTCTATAGGGATAGAAGGTTTAGTGCCATGTATCCGTATGTAGCTTTGCTACGATTTAATGGCATGTTCAGTGTTGGCAATATTTTAAATGTCGATTTCAGCTTCTTTGAGGAATTTAGCTACTATGTTCAGACGCTCTAAGCCTTGTGAATTTACGAAGTCTTCAACAGTGAAGAAATCGCATAGTGTTAGGAAACATCTCCGTTTGGTATTATACTTACTGCATTCAAAAATAATGTGGGAAGCAGTTTCATCAACCCCGCAATCATGGCATAATTTAGATGTAACAACATTCATTTTGGCTAGTGTATTCTTGCAAAAACAATGGCCGCTAAGTACACGATTTATCTGTTTTTGAGAAAAGGAATTAAATTTACAATTTTTAAACCAAGGTGTTCTGGATAAAGAAGGAAAGATTTTATAAAAATGAGAATTACCGTTTTGAGCTATTAAATGATATTCGCTGCTCCATTCGTCCCAGAGTATATTCGATATTTGATTAATGGCATCCGCTAGGGGCCATGGAATTTCAAGACTAGTTCCATTCTGGATTGCGTTTTTTGCAGCTATATCAACGATTTCATTAATGGGAATGTTGGAGTGACCAGGAATGTAGTGAATTTGTACGTCAGTGGCAAAACTATTAATCTTGTTTATAAAAGCATCAATCAAATAATTTCTATGCTTTTGGTTGCTGATGGCCTGAATACCACTTAAGCTGTCAGTAAGAATGGCAAATTTTTGAATTTCATTGTTTTCTGCATACTCAGCTGTTTTGAGAAAAGCTAGAACTTCGGCTGACATTGAAGATAGTTTTTTTGAGGCGCAAAAAGACATTGTAGTATTTGTATTAAGATGGTAGAAAGCAGCCCCAATGGCATTGTTGTTGACTGAACCGTCAGTGGAGAAAATCTCATATCCGGCATTCCTAAGATTATTAATTTTTTCAGTGGCAATTGCGGTAATTATTTCGTGATTGGCTTCCGCTTTTTTAAAGTTGGTTCCCTTGAAAAAGAAAGTGTCAACTTTAATTATCAAAGAATTTGAACCCTGGACTTTAGTACTAGCAATATCTGATAATATATTTTCAAATTTTGACCATACCTTGGCATAGCTGGTATTTATGCTTGTATTATTTCTTATGATTTCAGCACCAGGAAGGTTAAAAGCAACGCATTTAGCAAGCTCCTTGGCAGTAGCAAGTTGAAATCTGTAGCTAGGAGGTAGTTCACATGATAAATTGTAGATAATAGCGGTAGGAGTTGATCTTATGAGTCCAAGGGCTTTTCTGAGACTTTCTTGAATGCATGTTTTGAGTCTATTTTCAGATTCTTTTGTTAAATTTGATAAGGATGATGCGCCATATTCGATTTTGGATCTGACAAATGCTTTGTAAAAATGCAACGCTCTAGATGGATTGATACCAAATTTGCAACCACTCAAAATTTTTAAGAACTTGCAACTAGATTTGACAGCCGATGTTGATTCATTCATATGTACTTTAGCTGAACCACTAGATGTAATGGTTACCCCAAGATATTTGATTGAATTTGTTTGATTTAGTCTGATGTTGTTAATGATGATACCTAGTTGTTGAGGTTTCCTGCTAAAGTGGACAGTATTAATTTTTTCCATGTTGAAGTGTAAGGATAATTTATCGCATAATTCTTGAAAATCATTTATCTTGCTTTGCAGCGTAGTTTTGGCGTTGTTGATGTTTTTGTCATGGCAGATGATGAAGAAATCATCAGCAAACTGAAATAGATTGCAGCTATCGTCAATTATTTGGTGTAGCGAAGCCGTGTAGATGTTGAAAAGTATGGGACTCAAACCGCTGCCTTGAGGAATTCCATTGCAGACTGATATGGATTTGTTACCCAATAGTAATGTTCTCTGTGACATGCCATCATAGATCCATTTTATGATATGGGTGTTGAGTCCTGATTTAAAAAGGATTAATGCTAGTTTACCAATATCGGTGTTATCAAAAGCTTTCTCGATGTCAATGCAGGCACCAACAACAGTATTTTTGTTTTTCTTGTGAATTTCAATGGTGTTAACTAGGTCATTTATACAATTTGTGGTGGATTTACCCAAGGAGAAGGCATAAGAACTTTTTGGAACTATTTTCTTAGTCTCTATGTGTTCTAATATTAAAGGTTTGATCGCAGCTTCAAGTATTTTTTGTGGGGCACACATGAGAGCAATCGGTCTATAATTTTTAACGTCGGATAAATCTTTGTTTCGTTTGGGTATAGGGGCTATTTTAATATTGCGCCACTCACTCGGAAATGAGCCATCTTTCCATGGTTGCAACAGCACATTGAGATATTTATTTTTTTCAGAAGCATCCAGATTGTTAATGATGTTGTATGAAATTCGATCTGGTCCAGGAGCTGAATTTATGTTCCTTTTGACAAGAAAACTTTCCATGTCACTTATTTGAAGTTCCGGTTTATTTGTGCCAATATTTCCAAAAACAACAGAAGTTGGTTTGGAACAGATACGTGAAGAACTAGTTATGTGTTTTAAAAAGTTTTCGTTCTGTTCATCACTCCAGGTATTGTTGGGTGACTTGATTTTCTGATATTTTTTGACATTCTTCATTTTAGACCATACTTCTTTGATGGGAACATTTCCAGATATGTCGCTTTGTAACTTTTTAAGATTTTTCTTTTTTAATTTGGCTATAAGATTGTAAAGTTTCCTTTCTATTCTCGCTAAATTACAGGCATCTGTGAATAAGTTGGTTTTTTGATAGATTTCTCTGAGTGCAGCTCTTTCATTATATAGATCATTCACCTGGGCGTTCCACCACGGTTTGGGAACATATTTGTTATTCGAATCCACCACAATTGTATTCCGGGTTATGGCTTGGTTTATTTTGATATTAGTTTGTTGTAAGTTGTCCTCAACAATAATACCTTTGATATCATTGTAGAGGTTATCTTTATGCAGTATTTTACTATTTTTAATGGCTACTTTGTTGCAAGTTTCAATAATGATAGGTAGATGATTACTATTTGTAATTTTGTTCTGTCTGACTGACCAAGAAAAGTTGAAGAAAGTACTGTTGGAAAAAGCAATATCAATGGCTGAACGTGTATTATTTAAAACAAAAGTGGGCTCTCCAGTATTGAGACATGAGAAGTTGTTAATATCCGCGAACCTGGCAAGCACATCCCCTAAGGGATCGGTGTGGGTATTTCCCCAAGAAATGGATTTAGCGTTGAAGTCACCCACAAGTAAGGTAGGATGTTTAAGACAGTTGATTTTCTGAAAAACATCTGTAATTATGTCTATATAATTAGATCTATTAGTATTAGGAGGTATATAAACAACTACAATATTGAAAGGATTTTTGATATTCATTATAGAGATTCCAATTACCTCATGTTCATTATCAAAATTAATGAGTGAGTATTTAAATTTGCGCTTGATATAGATGCCCACACCACCGTAGCCATCGTCTCTTTTTTTTCCATAAAAATTGTAGTTGCAAAGATTGGTACTTGTTTCATCTCTGACCCAAGTTTCGGTTAGAAGAGCTATGTCAATTTTTTCTTTCTCAAGAAAGAGTTCAAGGATGATTTTATTTTCAATTTTGTTTATACTTTGTATGTTATACTGCAGTATTTTAAGCGTCATAATAGATTATTTGGAATTGGAGGAGATAATCTCCTGGATAATACTGGTAGTTTCTTTAGGTTTCCTGTTAGGATTAACCAAAAGTACATCAATGTTAAGTATTTCGTTTAAGATTTTATCTTTAATATTTTTAAGTGTTATTGATTGTGCTTCGTTTAATTTACCTATTTTTTCGGATGTTAGTTCATTGATGTTGTTTAGCACAGTGTCTAGAATTTCTTGGGTTTTACGTATTTGTGACCCATTGGGGGAGGAGTAAATTTCCCCTTCCTCCAAAGCATCCTTGTACTCCCTCATATTTTTTCTAGCATTTTCCTGCTCTCTAATTCTATTCTTGTTAACTTTCGCTACTCTTGCATATGATGATCTAGCATGAATGAAGTTAGCTGATTCAGTGTAATTATTAATGGTGTTGTTGTTGCCACTGGGGTGTTTAGAATTTTTGTTGGACCTTTCTAGTGTTGGGAAATTTTTGTCGATGTCCTCATCGAGTATGCTATATGAGTTAAAATGACCTGCATATCTCTCTCTAGCTTCTTTTTTGGACAAGTTTTCTATTGTCATGATTCTTTTGGTTTCGTACGCTCTTTGCCTGGCAGGACAGCCTCTTTCCAATGGGCTGTGATCACCTTTACAATTGATACAGATTATTTTTTCAGCACAAGGCTCATTTTTCTCATGAGGAGAAAAACAACGTTTACATGACTCTATTTTTTGTTTGCAGTGTTCCGCCGTATGTTCATGTCTATAGCATCTATAGCATCTACCAAATTGGATGAAATGCTTGACCTCTTTTCTGTGAAATTCATAGATTTTGACAGTTTGTGGTAGGTTAAGACCTTTGAACCATATTTTAACTCTTTGGGTAGGCAAACGTGTTCCTTCTACCATCCTGGTCACTCTCATCATTTTTATTATAGGAATTTCGGAACTTATAGCGGCGGAGAGTTCCTCATCAGGAATATCTACCGGTATGCCAAAGATTATGCCAATTTTGGAAACAAAATGCGAAAAAATTTTAGGTTGGTAACCCATTTGGATTAGGGTATTATTGTCTGCCAGCAGATTAGCATTTGATGCACTGTTTAATAATATTTTACTACGTCCGAAACCAATTTTCCTTATATCCAAAACACCTTGAATTTTCAAATTGAATATAGTTCGCGTTAAACTGACTGTATTTATTCCTACTCGATCATTATCTTTACTGATTTTGTCAATATACACGACATAGGGACCTTTATGGTCTTGATCATAAAAAAAATTAAAATTGTTAGGCCTGTTAACCATTAATTGCGGGGTCTTACCTGTAGAGATGTTACCTGTATTACTTGGGATGAATTCACTAAGGCTACTGATTGGTGCGTCATCACTTTTCGCTAGCCTCCCCTGTTGATCGTCATCTTCCAATTTTTTCTTCTTGTTATCGTCCACTCTACTTCCACTTCGACTTCTGCTACGGTTTGTTTTTGGTTTTTCTATTTTGGTGGTTTGCCTACGCGGCGACAAAGGAGGTGGAGGGAGGACCACGTCCTCCTCCATGTTGTAGTTTTGTAGTTTTCACTATTTAGCTTTGTGCTATTCTGTACGTCAGTTTCTGTATACTGACGCCACAGAGATCCCGTTATATGAACGGTACAGCGACGCCAATGTTAAGATGTTTCACAAATTCAAACACGAGGTTAGCAAAAACTTATTTTCAAACAATTGAAAAAATGAAAGTTTTTTAAAATAGAAATTTTTTGTTGTTAGTTTATAACACTTTTAAACAGTTTATAGTCAGTTTTTGTATTTTCGTCACAATAAGTATTTTGATTTTAATAAGTATAGTTTATTCGATGTTTCATTTAATGCGTAATTTTTATGAAGCGTCACTTTATTAAAATTCACAAGTTTTTCTTTTAAAGCGTAAGCTTTAAAATAAGTTTATTAATGTTTTTCATATGAATATATGAATTTCGAATTCTTTTTAATAAATGCGTTTTTTTTAAAAAATCGATGGCGTCACTTTTATTATATTTGCACTTAAATTCACACTTCTTTACTCTTGCGAAAGCAACCGTCTGCGATGGCGTTGTCCAAGATAATGTGCTATACACTTTTTCGTCACATTTAATTCGGTTTGAAGAAAAGAATTTGCTAAAAATTCAGCGCATATCCCCCGTCTTTGGGATTTTGGTTAATTCCACTTAGGAATATGTAAGTCGACTATCGACTTTTGGCTGGATTATCGACATGAATCGAATAATCGTTTTTTTCTGTTTTTGACAACAATGACAGTGGCGCGCATAGACTAGGTTTACACTGCAACCGTTTAGATTAAGAATTAATAAGCTGCCCTCAGACACACCAACAGTTGGCCCAACTTGTCACTTTTAAGTTGTATGAAAAAGTTGGTCGGTCTCCTCGCACGTACCAACTTTTCATACAACTTTTCATTTACAAAGTATTTTTGAAGCGTCAACATGAACTCGGATGCTCTTGCGCTACTTGGAATTAATATAATTTTAGAGGAAGAAGAAGAAAGACAACTGCAGAGAAAGAAAAAGCTTATGATTATGTTTTGTTTTCGTTTCTCTTCTTGCGCTCAGCGCTCAGCTTATGTATGTGCTGCTTCACCAAAGTCAAGACATAAATTAAGAAAACACTGAAGTTGGTACAACTTGCCCTCGCACGCACCAACAGTTGGCCCAACTTACAAATTATCAAAATTTTTTGATATTTCCAACCAACTTCAACCAACTATCGAAAAAGTTGTACAACTATCCCTCAGACGCACCAATAGTTGTACCAACTTGTCACAAGTTGGGTTGGAAAATGTTGAATGAAAAATTATTGAAGTTTGTAAAAAATGTTGAAAAATACATATTATATCAACCACCGATTCGCGTCGTATAAGAAAACATAAAAAATTACTTATTTTTGACAAAACATTTTGCAATGTTTTATCAAAAATAAGGATGTTTTTAAATAATTTCTTATACGACGCAAATCGGTTGTTGTTATAATATAAATTTTTCAACAAATTTTACAAATTTAAATAATTTTTCATTCAACATTTTCCATTCCAAAATCGGTTTGACAGTTCATTGTCCCAGCAGCTGTTTCGATCCGGCTACCTGTATTCTTCTACCATGGTTACACCCTAAATTTTCATCCAACCAAACCTTGCACACTTGCCTTATAACTTTACCAATGGCTGTGATCCTACCTTTTTCTTTTTTTCTCACGCAGTGTGAACCCTATCCAGCTGTTATGATATCAGTTGCTTCTTCTGTTCATTCGTCAACAATGGACATACGTTTGCCTTTTCCCTTTTCCTTGATTCGCTACGCTTTCTACCATTTGCTTGTTCTTTCATTCGCCAACGTCTGGTTGCCTCCAACGACACAACTCAAGTTCATTGAATTGATGGGTATAGTTTACTTAATTTCACCACACTAATATGGACCATACGGGTGAACAATTGCATCCCAACTGGCGAGCCTTAGCTACACTACATATTCCATTGAAACGATTTGTCAAAGAAGGTACCCGTGGGACCCAGCATGGAACGCACACAGGAACCAAAGAAAAATATGAAATTCACGGAGTTGATGGTAGTGAAGTTAAGGCATTCTATGAGGAGTTGTTATGTGAAGAAACGAGGCAAAGGAAGGAACATGTTTGCAACACCATCTCAGAATCAAAAATCAGCGAAAGAGAGGAGGTTAAGCCCTTAGTTAGAAGAACCCCCTTTGAGGTGGGAAAATATCATCGATTTGCAATGGAGAATAATGTGGAAGAGCTACAGAATCTCGACTATAGAAATCAAAATATAAATGTCTGTGATAATTATGGCTGGTCAGCCTTAATGATGGCAGCCTGCGAAGGCCATGAGCAGGCGGTAAGATTTCTGATTTCCTTGGGAGTTGATAAAAACCTTAAGGATAAAAGTGGGCAAACTGCCATGGATATGGCCAGAAGAAAAGGACATTTTCATATTGAAAAAATATTAGAAAATCCCCCAGAAGAGATTGTCACAAGCAGTGAAGATGAAATCGACGACATTGAACCATTTTATTGTGAAATATGCAAAAGAACCTTTGCCGAAACCACGAAACGTGAACATGAAACGTCCACTGTTCATCAATTTAATGTAAAAGCTCCAACCACTAGTAATAAATTGCAAAAATTCAATATACCACCACGGAATAAAGGCCTCCAATTGATGGTAAAACAAGGTTGGGACAAAGAAAGTGGTTTGGGGCCCACACAAACGGGTCGCTTGTATCCCGTCAAGACAGTTATACGTAAACAACGTACTGGTCTGGGCATAGAACAAGATCCAGCCAAAGTCAGTCATTTTCAGGCCTATGATCTGAGGGCTATAAAGCGCCACAACTCGGACTATTATAAAAAGAAGCCCAGAAATCGCAATGACATCAAAAGAGAAAAAATCAGGGAATGGAAGCGAGATAGGCGTCTAAGAAACGAACTAAATTAGGTGCCATGTGGGATGCCATTGTGTGCCCCAAATTATAACAATAACCATTTTTCATATGAAAATATTACAAATTTTAGGAATAAATTAAACCACCAAAATGTCTAAAACTACGGAGCAAAAATGTATGGAAATCTTGAAATCAACGGAAGAGGTGGGAGACCATGTTATTGGAAAACTTGAGTTTACTTTAAATTCAGAGTTCTCTTTTTTAGGTGGCCGATAAAGTTTTGGTCAACAAACAAGAATTGGTTGCCCTAGACAAACGCCGTCAACAAAATCGTGAAGCCATACGAGAGCTGGAGAAAAATACTGACAACTCGGAAAAGAAAGTGTGGACCACAATTGGCAGCATGTTGGTTAAGATGGACAGAGCAAAGGCTTTGGAATTGTTGAAAAAAGGTTTACCTATCTTAGGGAATCATTTGAAATGGAAATAATAATACTAATTTTTTGAAATTTCTATATCCAGATCAACAACAAATCGAGCGAGAAATACAAATTCTACAATCGGATCAAAAGATATTGGTAAACAAACATCGTGATTTGGAACATTTCAATCCGTATACTGGCACCCATCTGAAACCGTTGGACCCCAAAGAGTTTAGTGCGCTCAAAGCAAATTTGCCAATGCTGTAGAAAATAGGTGAAATAGAATTAATTCAAATTTAATAAAAAAAATGTTTTATATTATTTTATGTAATTATAAGTTTTAGTTTATCAATTTATTTAAGACCTATGGGCCTTCTGTAGGAGGACTTTTTGGTCTTTTAATTGTAGACTTTTTAGTCTATGAGAACTTCTTCGGACTTCTTTGAGAATAAGTTGTTGATTTTTTGGGTAGACCTCTTGGTTTTCTCGAGAAGACGTTTTTGGCCATCTCTAAATACTTTGAGAATTCCTTGTGGTCTCTTATGAGAAGATCTTTTGGTTAGAAAATGAGATGTCCTTTAAGTCTTCAGTGAGAAGATATATTGGCCTTTAATGAGACGATATTTTGGTCTTCTATGAGAAAACCTTTTGGTCTTCTATGAAAAGACCACTTGCTCTTTTATGAAAGGAGGCGAACACGTCTTCTCAAAGAGCTATTGGTCTTCTATAAGAAGACCTTTTGGTCTTCTATAAGAAGACCGTTTTGGTCTTCTACGAGAAGACCTTTGGGTCTTCTTTGAGAAGTCCTTTGGGTCTTCTATGAGAAGACCCTTTAATATCCTATGTGTAGAACCGTTGGTCTTCCATCAGAAGACATTTTGGTCTTCTATGTGAAAGCTTTTGGCACCTCTATGATATTTCTTTATATAAGGGACTTATGGTCCACTATTACATTTTTAGACCTTCTTGTCCAGATTTTTTGCTCTATGGGAGACCAAAAATGTTTCAACGGTGGGACCAGATCTTTTGCTCTTCATTAAAAAGACCAAAGTTTCTGCCCTTCATTGAAAATACCTGCTTTTGTCATTGAAAATACCAGACCGTATGTTCTTCATTAGGAAATATACTTCTATTAGAAGACCGTATCATCAGATTTTCTATGTGATGTCCATAGGTTCCATTCATATCTAAAGAGCCAGGCATTAGATTCTTTGAAAAAATTTTAATAATAATTTTAATAAAAATAAGTTATCTATAAAACCTGATACCATGGGGAGGTTGCTGATCTACAAAAACGACACCTGCTCTCTCATTAGAAGTTCTTTTGGTTTTCTATTGAAAAGCCTCTTAGCCTTATTTGAGAAGATCTAATCTGAAATGGAGAGACATTCTGGATTGCTATGGGAATAGTATGGGGAGTTTGTTGGTCTACAAAACGGCACCCATTAGAAGTTCTTTCGGTTTTCTATTGGAAGACCTCTTAGTGTTATTTGAGAAAATCTAATTTGCAATGGAGAGACATTCTGGATAGTTATGGGAATAATTTTCGATTTTTTTTTGACAAGGGTCTTAAGCTTTTTTATAAATTACACATTTAAAGTCTTCTGAAAGAAAAAGGTTGTATTAAAACAAAAGTTCCTGTTTCTTTTGGGGAGATACCACTACTAAATACTCGTTCCCACAGGAAAGTATGATCGAAAGTTTCACGATTCCCTTAAAAAAACGCGGCACCATTAAACATTCACGCGCGCTTTAACCAACAATCATGCACAACTCATCTCGCTGCAACGTCACTTGAAAGTGAGGTGAAATTTTGTAATAAAACCTGACTCTTGACTTGGTTTAGCGGAATGGGGGTGGGGGGTAATACGTTAACTACCTTTTCTCGCTCTGTGCTTACTAGCTGGCATGTGGTGAATATGGCTCCGCCTGTTGGCCAAGCATTTTTGTGAGTGTGTAAGTGCGGAGCTGCCTGCCAGTGGTGTGTTGATATTCTCTATGGTTCTTTCTCATCGATGGGCCATAGTGGGGATTGGGGGGACTTTTGTTGTTTGACTTGGCGTAAATTAAGAAAACATTTTACGGATTTCAGTCGTTTGTCAAACTTTGCAAAAGACAAGTGCCGTCGTCGCTGTCGTGTCGCGTAAAAAAAATAAAAACAGTAAAAAGAAAACAAAAACAAAACCTGCCCCTGACCCTCGTTAGCATTGTGACAAACGTTTTATAAGCTACGTTTCGTTTCGGTGTTATTTCTTGTTTTATATATTTTATCTCGTTCGTTCGCTCGCTCAGACGGACAGACAGACAAATGTTAATGAAACACGTTTTCAAAACGCTCGATTAAACGACATAAAAAAGTAACAATAACAAAATGCGTGGTTGATTACTACAAATCAAATAGGAAGAGCAACAACAACAACAATTGTTACAATTTGTAAATCTACAAGATACCTATTACACACCTACATGGCTACATACATATGTGTGAAATGTTTCCCAGTTATCTCTTCTTTTGAAAGATTACTACTCGAGTACCTTAATCACGAGCAGAGTTCTGTATTGTGAAAGAATTGTTTTCTTTTTGAAAATCATTGAGAAAATATAAAACGCATTTCCTTGAAAGTGCCATATTTTGTTGGTTTTGGAAAATTTCAGCAGGAAATGTTTAAAATACTAGTTGTTTAAAAAGCCCCATTGATTAGGAGCCACCAAGTTTACCACACATTCGAGGGGGCCAAATGTAATAGTGAATTTCTCAGTGTATTTGAGTGGAGTGGAGAATTGAGAAAAGAATAAAAAAGAAAACGTAAAAACAACAACATAGAAAAAAACGTGCGCTTACGTCGTCGTTGTCCATTAAAGAAAAATAAAATACAAAACTAAGTGAAAAACTTGCCAGCGCCATTCAATTATTACACCACACTCGCATTGAATTCACCACGGCATGCATACACAACCCAGCTCCCTCATGAGAATTGATGGCAAACACAAACAACAACAAATACGAGCAGAATAAGTTGGGCTGTTAATAAAATTCTTCTCCCAGTCCCGGATAACAACAAAATGTATTTATTAAAAAATCATTAAACCCCATTGGCCATTAAAAAGTAATTTTCCCCCGATTTGAAAGTGAAATTATTATGAAATTTGATTTGTGTTAAAAGATTTAATTCCCGCTCTTTTTTTCGCTACTGGCTGCTGGTGTGCGAAGAATTAAAACAAAACAAATTTGCATTTCCTCTCAATCAAGCAAAGAGGAAATAAAAAAGTCATGAGCATCAATGCATTGTGAATGACAAGAGAGAGGAGAACCGAACCGACAGTTGTGTTGGCACTTAGAGAGTGTATTGTTATGTGGTGCTGGCTAATCACCTATACAACTTGATGGGCACTGCCTCCCAACCTCCCACCTGCTGCTGAGCTCTCGCTCTCTCTCTCTCACACACAACCCACTGTATTGATGGCTGGCCATTGAGTGCAAAACAAGAGAAGTGCAAAATAAGAATAAGAAAGAATCATAAATTGTGTGAATAAATAATAACAAAAAATAAATACAAAATCGGAGAATAAAATTCTCTTTTAAATAAAAACAAGTTTGTATGCATATTAATAAAAAAATTAAATAAAACCACTAAAATAATATTTGATTTTCAAAAAAATATCAGCAACAATAAAGTGCTAAACAAATTAATGTTTCTCTGCTGTAATTTAAAGGTAAGTGGCAAACTTAAGCCATTAGTGTTTTAATGACTTGCTTCCCAGGCCCTGTAGGCCCTTTACACATCTACCTCAGTAGATATTTCGTATTCTTCTTTGTGTTATTATCTTTAATGTTTCCAACCACATAGTTTTTTTTCTGCCATGACGTATTTACTGTCCTTGTCTTGTAACCAAGTTCTTGTTCTTTATGTTTTTTACATAAAAAAAAATCATTCTAGCTTGAGTGCTAGGGTTCTTGTACCTGTATCGTTGTTGTGGTGGTGGTGTTGGTGAGTTCTCCATGGACGACCTTGAAATCGAGAAAATTCCTTAAGCTTTTTTTATTGCTTTGTATGCAGACCGGTCGGTCGGTCATTCGTTTCGTATGTTTTTTGTGTTTTGTTGTTCGGTATTTGTTTGTTGTAGGTATATGCTGCGCCTCAATGTTTTTTGCGTCAGACTTCCATGTAACAAAAACACAGAGTTGTATTTTCCGGAGGGGGCATTTCCATATCCGTTAAAGGATGTTTACAACGACAGGAGGGGCTTCGTATGCTGAAAATTTAGGACAAATATGTTTGAATATCCAAATATTTGTAAAAATTACACAGAAGTTCTGCACAAGAACGCATGAAAAGTGTAAATAACGCCTTTGCGGAAAAACTTGAGACTTTGGAGTGTGCCGCATATGAAACAGTGATACATTCCGTTATATGTAGGTTCCAGACCGGATTTAAAATAAACTATGTCGTGAAAAGATTTTTTTTTTTGTATATTAAATCTGTCCTTTTCCTGGATTTGCACTCCAATTTAGGTATACGCATGGTACAATAAAAAGGTAAGGTAGAGCTCTCAGCTGATTACAATTTTTCTTCTAAGTGTGCCCGACTCTTGCCAATTTTGTGTATGTATTTGTAGTTTTAAAAAATAAAAATAACATATTTTCAAAATCAATGATTGGAAGACGCGTAAATTGCAAGACGCGCATTAAAGATATTCCCTAGTTTTTGCAAGATAGAACTGTTTAGATCATATTTTTGAAAGAAAATCCAGGCATTTCATTCATTTTTTCCGCTGTTTAACAGATTTTAAAAATGAGGAAAAGTATTGAATAAATGGAAATAACTTTTTGCATACAAATTTGACAGGAAACGGACATAGCCAGAGGGATGTATTTATGTAGTTTTTACGAAACTATTCTACCTCCTTATTGTACCATGGGTATACGTAGGTCGGCTTTTGATTAAGCGACTCTGCCATCACGTACAATATTCTAAAGTGACAACCGATTATTCCTTTGTGACATTGAAAGAAACCCGCAAATCTAGTAGATTCTTGCCGTTTTGATGCGAGAATACATAAAACGCTTTTTTGACTTGCTTAAGGTTGCAAGTACGCAAGAAGCTTGAGGTCATAGCTAGGCATATTTTGTGACATTTCATTAAGGGATTACAGAGTCGTTTTCCTTTATAATTTGACATTAATATGCTTCAAGCTTTTTGTGTACTTGCACCTTAAGTCGTCGGCTGGCTTCTTCGTAGAAGAACAAAGGAGTTTTAAGTTGACTTAGTTTGATTTTAACCCTATTTGGCAATTTCGACCGAATTTG